CAGTTCAGTTCAGCTTTGCTCCAATCAGTTTAGCGCAGTTCAGTCAATTAGAACAGGCCCTAACTATTATGAGAGGAGTTGAGGAGGAAATAAGAAATGAGTTGAACTGAACTGAACTGAATATTTTATGAGAGGAGGAAATAAGAAATGAACTGAATTAAACTAAACTTATTGGAACTAAAAATAATCTGAAGAGAACAAACCCTTAATTTGATTTTTGAAAAAAAAAAAAAAAAAAAAAACAGGACTTTTTTTATGAAGCTTTGACTTGAACCTATTGAATCACTCGCAGTAAAGATTGTAGTTACAGTGCCCTCTTCCCCCTTTTTGATGCTTATTTGTTGGAGTCAATTCTGTTATTTTAGCAAAGTGACCCTTGCATTTAATGAAAAATGTTTGTCACCGGATTTTTCTACTGACTAATGTATTTACAAATTTGTTTCTACTTTGGAAATTGAGAAGGAAATAGTAAAACCCCATGTCCTTTGGACAGCTGTGTTGTTGTAGCTTATTATTACCCTACTGGTAAGAAAACAACTGTATAAATTTAATGGTTCACAATTTAGTTACTAATACGATAAAAACCTATACAATTTATAGGAGAAATACTAGGGTTTTATATATATGCAACTTGGACTCGGGAACTCATGTTCGACCCGGGTACATGTACAAGTGTTCGACTCGGTTATTTTGTGAAAAAAAATTCATAAATTTGAACTAAAAGTGAAAAGTTCGGGTGTCATAGTCATATCCGAGTACGAGTGTCGAGGGTCCGATACGGATACATGTGGTGAAATGAAGAGTTCGAATAACATAGGCAACATTTGGTTTGAAGACGGTGTAGGCCGGGTTGCGATGAGCCTAACATCATGCATGTCAAGTCAACATGCTTTGGAATTATCTAGGCTGGACTCATGAGTTACTTGTCAAGTTAGACTAGAATTTTCAAAAGGTCAACCTATACACAGTTTAGACCTACAGTATATGTCATGAGTCAACTAAGTTAGGGCCTGTTTTGATTTTATTGAATTGAAATGAATTGATTGGAGCTGAACTGGACTGAATATTTTATGAGAGAATGAAATTAAGAATTAAATTAAACTGAAATAAATAACCGAAATTAAGCTGAAGAGAACATGCCCTTATTGATGTAATTGATGATGAATTATGGACATATGTGCATGATACGTAAATAACTTAATGTACTAGTAAATACTTTGATTATTAATATCCAAAAGTTTAAAAAAATAAAATTGACCATGTTATTGTTAAGGTAAAACAACATGACACATGACATTTTATCTCTCTAAAAGATAAACATTCCAAAAAGGGGATAAATAGTGGTGAGATAACACACAAGCAAGCAGGAAGACATTCCTTAGATGGAATTATGGAAATATACCTTCATCCTTTTAACTGGTTTAAATAGTAGTTTGTTTTTTTGGGGAATATGCATTTGCAGAGCTTGCTTTTCCTTCATTCATCCACTTCTAAAGGAAACAAAGAAATAACCCTCAACCATTTTACTCGGTGATTGGACTTATCAATGGAACTTTAATTTTCATTTTTCAATATTATTACTCGTCCACCCTAAAGCATACTCCAAAATTCTTTCCAATATTAAAAATATAGTTATATAAAATTTTATTTGGGAGCTATTGTTCTGGTACTCTCAATAAATTTAAAATGCCATACTTCTACTTGTATATGAGTAACTTTTTATTTTGACAGAAAACTTCTACAAGTATAATTTATAATTTTTTTAAACTAATATTCCGTATAAAATTAGATATACTAATAATTTAAATTTTTATATGCATTAAAATATATTGGAAAATTTCAAAGGAACTAACGAACATTATTATTATTATATGTAAATTTTGACAATTACCACCTTCTGTTATATCCATTTTAGCAATTACCACCTTGTATTTTTTTTTTTTTTGAAAATTACCACCTTCTATTTTCAAAAACATCAAAAGTTACCACCTTCTTGCCTCCCAACTACCACATGACGTCATTTTGGTCTCATTCTTTCCATTTCCTCCCTATTTCCCTCACATTTCTCATTCCTAACTCGATTTTCATCTCTCCTTTCGCTTTTTTTCCCCCAAACAATAAAAAACACTTCAATTCACTCCTCCAAATCAAAATTGACGGACAATTATTGGTGGTTTGGGGGAAAAAAAGTGAAAAGGGAGATGAGAATCCAAATAAGAATGAGAAATGTGAGGGAAATAGGGAGGGAAGGGAAAGAATGAGCCCAAAATGACATCATGTGGTAGTTGGGGGGCAAGAAGGTGGTAACTTTTGATGTTTTTGAAAGTAGAAGGTGGTAATTTTCAAAAAAAAAAAAATACAAGGTGGTAATTGCTAAAATGGACATAATAGAAGGTGCTAATTGTCAAAAATTCCTTATTATATCTCAAAAACATATAAAATTTTACAACTTATAGAAAATTAGTGGAAAGACAAGATACAATTTGGACACCCAATCCTCTAGTTATAGAAAAACCTATCTTAGTAAATATATGAGCAGCAGCACGAGCCCCAATGTCTTGAGTAATCGAGAATATTTGAACCCGCTTCAACAACGCGATAGCCTTATCTAATTCCCCAAGTGATCGAATAAAAGGAGAAGGGAATGATTCATATCCAATTGTTTGACAACTAAATTTATATTTGATCCGCTTCGGATGAGCCGCATTGGCCCAGACCGAGTCAAAGGAGAAAACCCTGTCAAATCAATACATACATCACGACCACAATCCCATGAATAAAGTAACGCATATGCAAGTCTAAAGGCCCCGTCATTCCCTCTAGATAATCCAATGCCAACCTCCTTTCTCGCTGAAATCCCAAACCTGTAGCAAACATCAACAAGGGTATCCCGAAAAACATTATGCCGATGTTTAATACCGATAATACCAGCACACGACACCGCGTGATTACCGAAAATATCCCTAGTAAAGACCCTTAAACAAGCAGAGCACGACGTCGAGACATTGAACAATGGAACACCCAACCGGTAGCACAACACACATCGGTATGTCTTTGCGTTCATCGTCTGACCTAACCTTGAAATAGGAACCGCCCGAAACCAAGCAAAGGTGTGATCTCCCGGCTGCGATTGCCCCAAAGCTGATTGTCGAGGAGATAAAGAAAAGACGAATTCTATAGAGCGGTAACCTTTGTGAAACATAAATCTGGCAATTTCATGAGGTTTGGGACAACGACCTCACTAGGAACTTTAATTGAACACATATAGCAACTCGTAAGTACTCTTAAATTCTTAATAGATTAAAGAGATTAATTAACAAGAAATTAAAATTGGGAAAGATAGAGCACTATAGAGGCAAAATAAATACTTCACTTATAGGTTGGTGGGTCAAGCTCAGGTGCCCAACTCTACAAAACTGAAAAGCAAAGAGACAGAGAAAGAGATTGAAAGAGAGAGATAATGTATGATTGATTGAGATTGTGAGCCAAGAGAGAAGTAAAGGGGGTAGCCTATATTAACTAATGTTAGCAGAAATCTGATGTCAATGACCTCTTTAGTTTTTATTTTTGTGGGCTTTTGATTAGAAAGCTCTCCAGAATTGTACATTACATAACATACCCCTTGCTTGCGCAAAACCGTCACATTCTTGTCATTTAAGAGAGAGACAACCCTATTTTTTTAAACCCTTTTTTTTGAGTTTTAACTTTAATTTACATATTATTATTGGTGGTCTAGATTGATCTTGGTGTTGCTCACAATGAAATATTAAGTGATACCGGTTCGTCAAGAGATATCAATTATCTGACTCAAGCCCGATTATATCTACCTTAAACCAATCACAATTTTTACCCGAGATGATAAACAATCTAACATAACACAAATTGAAACTCAATTTGGAGACTAGATTGAGACTTGACATGACTTAAACCAAATATGATCTAAAACCTTACATGATCCTTGGACCCAATATAAATACTCTAATGACAATCAAACCTCGCATAACTTCCTCTTTTGCTAATTGTTTTTTATTAAATAAAAATTTTCCGAGCTAAGCAACTCTAATTTAATTATTAAAAAATAGAAAAGTGAATTGCAAAAATAGAATGAAAAGAGTACTAGTAATTATACACTTCTGAATAATAATCCCTTAAAATTCCACACACACGTGTGTGAAGTTTAGGACCGTTTTGCCTAACTTTTGAAGATTCATTAAAATGCAAACACAAAAATAGTCAGACCTAATCTAAACTAGATTTGCAAAGTGGGGCTTATTAGTTACTACACACGTTCATTTCTTTCCCGTGGTTGGTCATCAATGCCTCCATTGCCAATTTTTTGGAAGGTTTGACTCACTTAACTTCCTCGACTTGTTTATTCTCACTACTACTTCTATTCTTCTTCTCTTTTTCTGTTATAAAGTAGCTCAACTTTGCTTATTATAATTATTACCATTTTGAATTTCTTATGACCTTATTAAAAAAAATATACTATGTATATATATTAGGTTCCTTATCCAGTAATCGGAAACGTATCAGATTCCAACTAATTAATATACTATGTAACTCAAAACAATACGGAGTAATGCATTTTTAAGGCTACGACCTTATCTACTCAGTCAACAAACCCATAAACTAACTCTTTTTACATGGTCCTTAAAATTACTTAGTAATTTAATATCTATTTGACTCTGACTAAAAATTCAAATTTAAAACAATTTCAGTCTCTAAAAAATTAACATTATTACATTCTTGAGTGTATGTGATTAAGTTAGAACAACCCCTTACTAAATGATCCTAAATCGACACTATCTGTCAAATATGAGTAAATAATCCTACGACTTAAATTAATAAAAAAACACACAACCAAAAAAGGACTCCTTATTTAAAATTTTGTTTTGTTTTGGTTGGGAGTTACATCAAAAGGTCATCAGTCAGCAGGGTGTTTAACAACTTGGAACCAGTAGTATTTATTTTAACTCAACAATAGAGATAGAGATAGCAATAGAGAGATATCAATATAGAGATAGAGATAGAGAGAGAAAGGCTTTGTTGTAGGTTTCTGTTACAAACATTTCCCATTTTTCAATTCTTCTCACATATTCATATAACTTCTCTTAAATTAAATTAAATTAAATCAAATCCCCCCTTTAATTTATTTTTCCTACCCCCTTATATTTCTCTTTGCCCAAAACTTGTCACCAATCATTCCTTTCATTTCTTTCTGAATCCTGATTTTCAAATCTCTTTCTCTCTCTAGAAAATTTTGCAACAAATTCAAGAAATTTTTACAATTTCTTTGTTAACAGTTTTTTTTTTTCCGACAAAATTTGTTTGTCAGAAAAACAAATGTAGGCATGGCCAACAAGTGTAGTAGTTGTTGTTACTATTAACCAAAACCACACTCCAATTCCTTCATCAACAACTATTAGAATCCCCTTAAAAAAAAAAAATACTTCCTCCGTTACAGATTAGTTTACTCAGTTCGTAAATGGGTATGAGCGCATTCCCAGATTTAACCTCGCTCTCGCTTAGGAAACCCAGCTCGTTCGGGGCAATGCCGGCTGCTTCGGAACAGCCGACCGCCTCGAAGAGCAGGGGTTTCCCCTTTCTGGGTAGTTTTATGATCCCAAGATCAGACCACACTCAAATTAATGAAGAGCAAGAAGTAATTGAGGGTAAAGTGTGTGATTTTGGAGATGGGTTTGTTGAAAAACATGGGATTTCTAGCATGGATCTCAATGCAAATTTTAATAATAAAGATGAAAACTTTTATGAAAATAATAACTTTAATAATGAAATTAATAGTATTAATAAAGTGGGTTGTTCTAAAGAAAGTAGTAAGGTTTGTGCAAGAGGACATTGGAGACCTGCTGAAGATAGTAAGCTCAAGGAACTTGTTGCTATTTATGGCCCTCAAAATTGGAACCTCATTGCTGAAAAATTAGAAGGAAGATCAGGTAATTTTTATTTTTATCCTTCTATTTATTCTTTGTAATAATAATAATAAAAGTTTACCTGAAATTATTTACAAAGATATTTTGTTGGAAATATTGTGACATCATCATATCATGGCTAGTATATATGTATTGATGATAATATTTATTTTATGAATTATTATGATAATCTTTTATTAAAAATGAAATGTTGCAGGTAAAAGTTGCAGGTTAAGGTGGTTCAACCAATTAGACCCAAGAATAAACAGAAGGGCATTTACAGAAGAAGAAGAAGAGAGACTAATGCAAGCACATAGAGTGTACGGTAACAAATGGGCAATGATAGCAAGACTTTTTCCAGGAAGAACTGATAATGCTGTTAAAAATCATTGGCACGTTATTATGGCTCGAAAGTATAGGGAACAATCTAGTGCTTATCGTCGGAGAAGAAATCTTATTGTTCATCCACAACAACAACCACTACCGTCTTCGTCGTCGAGTTTTCCTAACAGTTATCATCTTAATCACATGAGGTCGTCTTCGTCGTCGTCGTCTATGGAGGAAGATGAACAAATTCCTAGTGCTTACAATGGTGGAGTTAATAATTTGATCAACAATAATCAATCTTCTTCTTTTCCAAGTAATGGTAATGGGTTTTGTGGGCAGCAGTCTCCTTTCGATTATTTCTCAGGTTAGTTTATCTCCGTTTCATATTAGTTGCAACAAAAATTAAAATTAAAAATAATAATAATAATTTAATATTTGCTATGATTGTAGAGTTATTCTCTCTAGGTTGATTTTGTTCAATTATATGTTTATGTGTGTTGTTTTTAAAGAAATATTGTACGCCTTGCTTTTATATCTAATTCATGAATTAATAACCTTTTTTGAAAATTAGGAATTATGGTGCGTATCAAAATGTGAAATTAATCTAGATTTATGAGTAAAACAGTATAACGGTTTTTCCCATACATAGAATGATAGAATAAAATTAAATCGCTTAGTTATGGACTATTTCATAAGTTAATGTTTTTTATCAAGTTAAACGACAAAAACGTAAAAAGAGTCAATTAGAGAAACAAAATTGTTAACATGAGATTAAATAAACCAAAAACCGCGAGAGAAAAATAAGTTAAGATAATGTTAATATCGATTTAATAATGAGTTAGGTAAACAACAGTTAATATATAGCTAGCATAACTCTTTTAACCCCTACCATATGTAGTATGTACATACATACTTTTACTTGGTCTATGCTAAGGAGATCGAATAAAAGCATAAGATACACCAAATCTTAAAAACTAACCAACATATATACTTATATGTATGCTGATATCATACCACATTTATTCCTTTGTTATTTTTTCAAATATTGTTTCATTTTAATATTTTTAATATATGATTTAGTATATGTGTTGATTTGTGCATAATATTTTGGGCAGGTCCAAATAATAATAACCAAAACATGGTGAGCATGTTCAGTCAAAGCAGCTGTTTGGATAGGCCAATACAAATGCAATTACAACAACAGCAGTCTTACTATTGTTACTACTACAACAACAACAATAATATCAATAATAATTCTCCTCTAATTTCACTTCCCCAAACAGACCCTTATTCTCTCTCCTCACAATCTTCAATTGGAGCAGCTGGAGGCAGATCAGATGATAATCCTACTTCTTCTTCACCACCTTTCATAGATTTCCTTGGTGTTGGTGCTACTTAATGAAATTAATTATTAGAAGATTTTAATTTTATTTCATTTTTTTAATCTTAACTTTTAATTTAATTATTATTGTCCCTAAGAAAATGGAAGTAAAAATTGTAGAAATTAGATAGTGTTAATTAAGAGATTGGATATGATATGATCGTCTTTAAGTCTATCTATTCAAAAGCTTCTGATAAAATTGGAACGATGCAGAAAAAATATGATGGATCGATTATGTGGTATGGTGTTTTTTTTAGATTAACTTAGAAATTACTATTAATGGTAAAAAAAAAAGTAGGAGGTGTTTTCCTTGTATCAGTTAAAAAATATGACAGTTTAATCATATCATATCATAAATCATCATGACATTATTTATAAGTTTAATTTTTATTATATGGGTGAGGCCACTTGTGCTAGCTTGAAGATTTGAAGTTAAGTTGGAAAATGAAAACCATCGTTGTCGATGTTTTCTTGCAATACGTTATGGATGGATAGAAGGTCTTAAATTTGCAGGAGAACCAACGGTCCAAATATGGTTTTCTGTTAAGTTATAATCATCATCTTGTGTTGGAAAAGTAACAACTGATCTCAGATGTGATAGCTTTATTTACTAGGATTATGTGTTTATTTTTATTATAAAGTTTTTTTTTTTTTTTTTTTTTTTTTTTTTTTTTTTTTTTTTTTTTTGGATCACGCTCATAAGGGTCACATATATTTAATATCAAGGGACATCTCTCTTGAAAGTCATATAAAGAAATATTAACCCCGTAAATAACATGATGCAATGTAATTTAGGGCGGTTTTCTTCCACTTAATTTAAATTAAGTTTAATTTCTAATTTCCTTTTCTCATAAACTATTCAGTTCAATTCAATAAATCAGAACATACCCTTAATTGTGAGGAATAGACCAAGGTCTTGTTCACATTTACTGAACTAAACTAATTATTGGAGCTGAACTGAACTGAATAGAGCTGAAATGAATATTTTATGAGAGAATAAAATTATGAGCTAAACTGAACTGAAATTAAGCTAAAGTGAACAGACCCTTATATGTGTATTTATATGTGTATATAGATAGATAATTACCGTACAATTGGGTTTATGTTTAAGGTCACTTAAGAAACACCTTTTGTTTAGAGAAACTTTATTTATAGGGTTATAAATATTACTTGAGCAAGATTGCAATCGAATCAATTCAGGATCGATAAAAGTCATTTTAATTTTTGCTTTTTTGTTGATTATCTAATTAATTACATATAACTCCAATCATTATTTGCCTCATAAACTTTTACTTTGTGATTTCCATGAATATATATGGGTCAAAATCCATAAATTTGATTTGTGTTTTATTGGTTGAGTATGATTGTCGTATAAACTACAATACCAAGATTTATGGTTATTTCCTCAAAAAAAAAAAAAAAAAAAAAAAAAGATTTATGGTTAACATTTAAGAGAATAATTAAAATAAGCCTAGCTCCGTTCACATCAAGTTTATTATATTGACATTTTACTTTTAAAACACCATTTCTTTCTGTCAAGATTTATGGTTAACAAATAAATTTTTGATGTGTTCATAATACTGAAATTGTACCATTGAGCTGAGGATTACATATGAACGTTAGGTTATTAGATAGGGGGTAACGGGTGGTGTATACTTAATTACTTATCTTTGCCTACAATAGATAATGTAGGGGTAACGCGTAGTGAGATAACTTATCTTTTCCTCGGGCTTTAGAGATAGTATAAATTTTTATTATCAATCCTATACATTCTCTAGAGTGGCCGTAAATTCGTATTTACGTGGTGGTGAAAACCATGAAACATGATGATTGATGAGAATGATAATAACATAAAGGATCAAGACAACACAAAGCTTTGAAAATTAGAAGGTAGCTAGCTAAAAGGAGTGTGGGGAAGAATTTAGTTTGTGTCTTGCTTTTGTCTTAAACAAAGAGGTAGGGAAATTGCAGCAGTTGCGAAGCAATATGATGGTAACGCTTCAACATCCTTAACCTTGAGCAGAATCTTTAAGGATTTATTCATGCCAACCACATGGGAGGTAACTTATCAATTTTTTTTTTTTTGGGTTTTGATATAGAATTTGGAATAAATTTACGGTACGTTTGGTTAGTGTATTTTTTGGATTGGAAACGAATTCGATTAAATCAATACTGTTATCATGTGTTTGGTTTGAAGGCATGGTAACAATTACTATTATCTAAGGATAACAATTACCCCTCATCATTTACCTCTCAAAAACTTAGGGTAACAAATACCGTTTCCATAGTTAGACTAAACAAATGAAAAAGTAATACTTTATATCTCCGAGTATATTTGCCTTCTACTTATTATTCACTCATTTGTTTTCCCAAACTTTCTTAGAAACAAAATTTTAACATAGTAAATTGAACTTACAAAATACACAGTATTCTCTCCATTTACTTTTTGTTGAAACCATTTGACATACAACTCTCAGCTCCTACTTTTAATCAATTTTTAGCAACTATAAGTGAATGAAGTAAGTATATAAAATGAAAACAAGCTAGCTATCACAATATGTAATATTGAAAAGGGCCGGAGAGAGTATGTATCTTCCTATATGAACAAAGGTGGAAAACCAACACACAAATGTTAGTACTAATTTGACTCAATGGTCCTAATTGGCCCCATTAGGGTTGAATGGTTGGTTTCAATAGCTCATAAATAGGACTAGGGGTGTACAAAAATTGGCCCGGACCTGAAACCGGACCTGAACCGACCTGAACCGGACCGGACCTGACCCGGACCTGTTGATTCAGGTCCGGTCCCGGTTCTTAAAAATCCAGGTTCCCGGTCCCGGTCCGGACCCGGTGCAAACCCGGGGTTTTCAGGTCCGGACCTGAAACCCGGGAAAATCGTAATTAAAAAAAAAAAAAAAAAAAAAAAAAAAAAAGAAAACCAAACTCTGAAAAATTGAAACTGAGTTTTCGTGGACTTATTTGTATTTTCGGTGGACTCATTTGTATTTTTGGTGTTTGAGAATCGGGACTTTATAGACTTTATGTAGTTTTGTAATTGATAATTTTGGTTTGCATGTAATTATTAAATTATGCAACAGGTCTAAAAATCACAAAACAGGTCCATATGCAGGTCCATATGCAGGTCCAACAGGTTTTGTATTAAAAAAAAAAAAACGAAAAAGACACAAAACAGGTCCATTCAGGTTCAAAGCCGGACCGGACCTGTTAATTCAGGTCCGGTCCCCGGTCCTCATAATTACCCAATTCAGGTCCCCGGTCCAAACAGGTCCGGACCAAGTCCGGTCCGATTTTGGACCGGTGTACACCCCTAAATAGGACCAGTATAAATATTCGCCAACATCTATTTATGTAAGTTTTAAAAAGGGGAACATTGATTATGTAACTATCCATTTCACAGCTCAGAAACCAATACTTGGTGTTATTAATATTTCATTTTCATCTGGAGTACACACTCACTGCATTTGTGCCAAGTAATATATATACAACAATTATTTTTGAGTTTTCTCATCAAGTCCTTTTTTTATTTATTTATATATACATAGTAAATAAATATAAAGAGTTAATTTTAGACATGTGATATATGGGCCAATGAAAACAGCAAACTGTTAGAGGCAAAATTATATGCTTGACAGTTTATAATTAATTTATATTTCATTTTAGTACTCTTTTTTCATATTTTTTGCAGTTTGAATTAAATTATCTAAGACAATATTGGTAGCCCATTATTATTATAAATGAATTGGGCCATCTAAAGAGCCAAACATAAACTGCCAAACTTTTCTTCATCCAACTTGTGATATTGCAATATCATACTATTGTGGTGAAATATCTATCATATGAAATGTTTTTTTTCTTTACCATGCATTGTTTATTATAGCACTAAATTTCAGGTTGTACTATGGTACTGGCTAGAGAATTTATTGAGTTTCAATGGCATACACACGTTTGTCTTGCAGAATTGTTGATGATAATTGACCCTAAAAAAGAAGTATAATTTTTGACCTATTGCATCTAGATATGGTTATTTGGTTGGGACCGTTTTGAGCCATAATAATAATCTAAAGTTGTTTTCTTCTTCTTTCAATTATTTTCAAGCTAAGTATTGTATGATTTATATATAACGCTTAGATATGTTATATGATGCTCTTAGGTGCATATCACATCATTTTAGTATAAAAAATACCTTTAATCTATCTATATCTATATCTATTTATACAAACACATGCATGTATTAATATTTAAATGCAAGCCAGAGTGGAGGTACGTGCAATTGTATGTATTGCATCCTCCACGCATTGTTTGACATAGCCGACTTTGGTATATGATCGAGTCAAAATCGACTTTGGTTAGCCCATATCCGCATTGGCATGAGGCCATGAGCACAATAATTAAGCTCCAATTTTCAACAACTATAATCAAGCAACGACTAGTATATAGGACATAGAATGAAAGGTTTAACGTTACTCTAGTGAATAAAATTAATGTACGTACTACACAGAAGTATTATACTAGTGTGCAGTGTATGATTGAATAATTTGTTGAGAAATTATAGGCCGGACGTACAAGAAAGAAAATATATTAAAGTGGCAAACAACTTTTATAAAGAATCCCAGAAATATTCAGTGTCATTATTACATTGATTTAATTTTATTATTATGACGTCGGCATGGTATAAGAAATCGATGATCATAATAGAAATAATCCACATACAAATCTCAAATAATTACTTGGTACTTGACATACAAAGTAGTTATGGAAAATGAAACTTATCATGAACATATAATATCATAGAATTATATGAAATCTTTAATTCTCCCTTTTTTTTTGTTTGACAAAGGTTTCTTATACTATGAACATTGTATAGTATACTATGTATAATTGTCTAACTTTGGGTTAAATTTTGGTCTTTGTATGATTTGAAGGAAAAACGGTGAGAGTGATGGATAATTGGATAGCTCAAGTAGTAAGAGCTTTCCTCATGATTCCAGCGACAATAAAAAAAAATGAACGAAAAGGTTTATCAATTACTTAAGTTCAATATCTAGTTTATGTTTGAATTACCAAATGCATTGAGATTACTCATGTTCGAACATATATGTAGGGGTTGTTACTACATACCTAGATTTAAAAATAAAGTTTGGTTACAAAAAAGTTTATTAAGATATGTTCATCTTATCTTATTTTCATTTATTTTAAAGTGAAAGATAAAAAGTAAGTTCTAAATTCTAATAAGTTAAGTGCATGGCGATCCAATAGACAATATTTCGAATAACATTTTATTTGTTAGCTCTTCCTTTGAATATGTGGATCGATCGGTCTCATGTGAAAAGGAAGGGAATTTTATAGCTCATCGTTTAACTACAACAGTACATAGCTTTCAAGGTTGAGCAAGCTAAGTATGTATTAGCCCTTGCCCAAACAAAGTATGTATCTTTGTATATAGCTGAATTGAATAGATTGAAACTGAATTGAAATTAAGTTGAATAGAACAAATTCTAAGTCCACACAATCAAGATAAGCTATTAAATGTTTCTAAAACTAGGTGAATTCACGCACCCTCGAGTTTTGAAAATAATATGATTCATGTTATATTTTGTCCCGAATGTATCTAAAAGTAGATAATTAAACCTCCGAGTTTATATAATGTCGTGAACGATGGATTTATTTATTGGTGCATTAATAACGAACAATGGCATCAGATCAATATGATGAGCCTGACCCTGCTGAGCCGGATCGGAGGGAGTGAATAATTTCTGTTGCTCCTCTATAAATTTTGTGGTTATGTATCGTTCGTACAAAGATGAATATGCTTGCAGAAAAGTTCTGAAAATGGTCTTTTGCTCTATTAATAAGCTCGCTTATACTACGGAGTATATGCTTATTATATCGTTATTAATTACTTCGTATTATTATTACTACGTTTTATTATTACTACGTTTTATTTTGCTTGTTCTACATTTAATGTTTCTTTGCCTCTAGAATAGACATGTTTTTGAGTTTTTCTCGCTACTTAAAAAAAAAATAAAAATTAAAAATTAACTACTTGTATATAAGTAATATATTCCCTCACTCGAATTTTGTGGTTAACTTTTAAAAACTTTGACTATGAACGAAAGCCATTATAAAGATTAAAAATCATATCATGTGTGGGATATTGTTAAATTCGTTTTGAGATGAATGTCTACGGAGTATTTTATTTTATAATTGTATGAAAATTTAATTGAATATATTCACGATCATCAATTACATACATTTGAGATTGTAAGTATCAATATTATAACAAATAAAAAATGATTTTTTTTGTCTTTTTTCTTTTGGTGCTTCGAGGGCCACAAGGGGACGGTGATAAGAAACAGTCTCAAGAACAACTAAAATCAGGTGGGAAATTCTAACCACATGAGGTATCTCTCATACACAAAAAGAAACGAATGTAGTAAATAGTTGGGCTAGTGCGCCAAAAATAAAACATAATTATTTATGAGAATATTCAGGGTTAGGTTGATTTCAATTCGATTGATTTCGGTTCAATTTAAGTTCAACTCAGTTTTATTAGGATAAGGTTGATTCATTAGGTCAATTCAATTTTCAAATTCTATCCTTTTCAGATTTGGTAGAATATGGGTTGGATTGATCAAATTTAATATTGAAATAAGGTTAGGGGTCGTTTGGTTGGGGGTAATCAGAAGAGGGAATGGGAATCAACTGGCCCGATTCCCTTTGTTGATGTTTGTTTAGTACTTTTATTCATTCCCTTTACCCTCCTCATTACCCCAAATCCTTCCAACTCCATTCCCCACCCCCTAGACTTTCCCATTCCCTTTCCCTACCCACCTTCACACCACCACATCACCACCTTCACATCTACCAGCACCACCAGAAAACCAGCCCAGACCACCGCCGCCCCTACCCTGACCACGACCGAGCCTCCCCCGACCACCGCCGAGCCTCCCTTGACCACCGCTACACCTTCCCCGACCACCGCGTTGCACCTCTATCGCCTTCCCTCCCCTCGTAACTCTTCATCCAGCCCCCCGAAAACCCTAAAAACTCCCCTCCCTCCCCGTAAAACCACCAGACGAGCCTCCTAGGGTTTCGAGGGTGGTGGGAAGGTAGTCTAGCGATTTTACGGGGAGGGAGGGGAGTTTTTAGGGTTTTTTTCTTGCTTAAGGTAGGTTTTTCGAGGGAAGATGTGTCGTGGTGGGGCCAGCGAGGGATGGGAGAGGGATGGCGAACGGCGGCGAGGGGTGGTGGAGGGCTGGCGAAGGGCGACGATCGATTTCTTGGCTGGAAAATATACAAAATTGAAATATGTGGTGGCTGTGGGGGTGGTGGTTTGGTGGTGGGAATGTGGGATTGATTCCCTTTGTTTTTAAAACAAACAACAAAGCAAAAATAAGGTATTTTCATTCCATTCTCTTTGTACGAACCAAACGACCCCTTAACGTTTAACCAGAGTAATTATTGAGTTATTACCTTACTATTGAGTCACTATTGGGGTCATTGATATATCATTTTTCATATCGTATCATTAACACTTATTAGTTATTTAGTTAGATTATTAGTTCTTGTATCAGTTTTATCTTTAAGCCAAACTAAATCAAATTAATCATGACTTATCAATAATGGGTTAAGTTTAAAATTATGTTTGGTTTGAAATCATGTCAAATTAAATTCAGGTCGAGTCAAAACATACATATCAAATTAAATCGAGTATCTGTTAGGTCTGGTCAAACTAGTGTTGGTTAGAATTCAAGTCGGGTCATGTTGGTGTGGTATTGAGTTGAGTCAAATTTAGATTTGGGTTGAGTTCAGGCTGATCACATATCAAGGTTAATCGTGAATTTCTCAGGTCAAATCGTGGATTGTGTGTTTTGGGTCGAGTTGGTTTTGATTCCTCTAGTATGGACTATGGAGTACATTTATTTAGATCAAGGTGAATGATGAATAATAAAAAGTTCTTTATCAATGTGAGCAACTAGTCTAGTTAGTTATTAAAAGTGAGATCAAATTTTGTTCATATCATTTACCCCGTAATAACTTTTTTATATTAATAAAAATATTAAAAAATAAATTTATTAACTTTAATCATAGGATTCATAGCCTTCCAAATCATGTAGCATCATTAGTTATCCTTTTCTTTGTTATCTATATAATTTAAAAATCACAAGAATCCAGCTTTTAGTTGGAAAAATGTAAGGTGGAAGAGCAACGTAAAGTGGATTCAATGAAGAGAGAAAGTATGATTCCGATCCTCCCGCTTTTTCTGGATGACCCGAATTTGTAGCATAACCCATCCCCCATCTTTCACTCACTCTTTTTAAACCCGTTTTAGATTTAATAAATTACTCCCTCCGTTTCTAAATAATTGTATTTACTCGCTAACTAATTTTATATCCATTTTTCCGTTTAACAGTGTGCTTGTCTCTCATCCCAGATTTTTGGATTTCGTTTTGTTGCACCCAATCTCGTATTTCCTTTTCTGGGTATTCTTTTAATTGTTTTTTTTTTTATTTTATAATCATTCAATTTTATTTTTTTTTAATTGAATTATTATTGAATGATTTGTTTGGGTTATTAGGTATACATATAATTTATTTATTGTGTATTTTGACATTATAGTTTTCTGATCATGTTTATGAAAAAGGGTAACAAAATATGTTGTTTGGATTAGGATAAATTCATCAAGGATGGACTTAAATAGAAGCGTTATTTTATAAAAAGAAAAAAATAAATCAACGTTTTCATGGCAAAATTTTGAAGTGTAAATTGGGTTTAAATTTGAATGATGTTGATATAATATCAAAGGTCAAGTTGACAAGGTTGCCTCCAGAATTCGAGATTTTAAAAGGATTATCATTTCATTACTCAACAATATTGGTCGACAATGTTAAGGTAGATTCACCACTGGTAACATTTAAAACTCGCCTTATTAAAGGGTTGTTCTTATTAGATCATCTCATGACTTAACAGGTAGATGTTAGATTGGTAACATTTAAAACTCGCCTTTTTAAAGGGTTGTTCTTATTGTATCATCTCATCTCATGACTCGAAAATGTGGCCTTCCGATTCTTAGAACTCGCCTATTCTTGAAGGTTGTTTTCATCATAATCTTTTGACAAGGTGGCCTTTCCCACTTACAATGTGGTTATTGCTAGCAAGCAAGACAAATCCTCAACTCTTGTTCGACCCTTGACTATGTTAGTTTCATTTTCGGGTACTAGTCTCTCTGCTATCGGAGGGATAAGGCTGCATACATCAGAACAGGATCACTGTTATGTTAGCCTGTTATATTAGAGGCATTGGGATGATGTTATTGTGTTTATGTCTTTCTTGGTATGGATATTTAATGGGAACTGTTGATTAAGCCATATGAAATGTTGATGTATCGCAGCTTTCTCAGTTAATGGATGGTTGAGTTGATACATTTTAATTTCAGGGCAGAAACTAAGATGTTCACTGGTTAATCTGAAGAATTTTTTTTTTTTTTTTTTTATGGTAAATGATGCAGGATGGGAAAGGTTAAGCTGGATATAAAGAGACTAGAGAATGCAAGCAGCCGTCAAGCCACTTATTCTAAACGGAAACATGGAATCCTGAAAAAGGCGCAAGAGCTGTCTATATTGTGTGATATAGACCTTGCCCTTGTCATGTTCTCACCGGGTGGCAAACCTAGTTTATGTTGTGGAAAGCACAGGTACTTATAACAGTTTATGTCATTTTTGGTGTATGCATAATTTGCTGCATTTTAACAGTCATTAGTCATTGTAATTACATACTAGGTTTGCTTGTTGCCTATTTTCTTATGTGAGAATTACTGACCAAATTATAATCAGCCTGTGTTTGGTACTTTGGTGTTTCTGGTTTATGCAGACAGGCCTATTACTCTATCCACTTGATAGATACTGTTTGACCAACCTGATATCATTGTGTATTCTTATAATCGTCGAATAGAAGTGTTAAGAACTTTGTGTGCATTAAGGTTGTAACAGAGAACTTTACAGTTGAGGTTTTATGGTTCCTTAATTTGTGACAATTTAGTAACCTAATGATCTTCATCCAATCTTTTACTTTCCATATCTCTGAGGATTGCATCAGTGCTAACCAAGTTGATTTGCCATATAGTACACGATGGCCTAGAAAACTGCAAGTCTGCATTGATAGTACAAAGTTAAAACAAACATACAGAGAAGATAATTTGATGATGCCCAAACAGAAAGTAGGATACTCAGAGTTGCCTATTGTAGTTAGTATTCTTCAAACAATCATTATTTATGTTCTTTGACATACATTTTTTTGTTTTGCATTGATGCTACAATTATTGTGCTTCTTCCTTGAGGCAAAAAATGTTGTTTCTTATGATCTTTACACTTTCGGTCTAAGGTTTCTGAGATTTCAGACAGAAATAATCAGATCACTGTTAAATAAAGTGTTACGGAGTTGATTTTAGATTGTAACTACTCGGTTTCTGAGCACACTTTTTCTTACGTAGCAGCATCGAGGAGGTTATTGCAAGGCTTAATCAGTTACCTCCACAGGAGAGGACAAAAAGGTATGAATTGAATGTTTGTCAAATTGATAATAAAGTTCGTTACATGCATACTAACCTAGCTATCTTTCCTTGTTCTCTGAACTGAAACAGAAAGCTGGAAGGTCTTGAAGTAAGCCTCGCATCCAATACACTTCAATTGTTGATTTTCTTAGTGTTAATCTACAGCTGCAAGCTTTGCCTGCTTAAGAGCTTCATGTTTCTTCTTTGAAAGTCTAGGCACTGAAGAAAGCATACAGGAAGAAGTCCGAACATGATGTAAATATGGAAGATTTTCTTGATTCAAGGTACAATCCGATTTTTCTTGTTTTCCTATGCTGGAATTGTTGTAATACATGCATACTTTTCCTTTTTGCCTTCCTAATTTCAACGTGTTTTCTTTTCCTTCACCAGTAAACCAACAATTAAGGTATGCATGGAACCCAGGTACTTAATGATTATCTATGATATGATATGCACATATTTTAATATTTGAACCAGGGTCGGTTCTTTAGAAAATTGTTTTCCACAGGATGTGACTGACCAGGCTTCTAGACTACAAACAAGAATAGCCGAGATCCATGAAAGACTATGGTAATATTTCAAACCTCCTCGCGCTGCTTCTGGGTGTATATAGCTACCTGATCATGTTCAAATTCTGTACTCTTCTGCATCTTCCCCCTGCCACAACTTCTGGTTGTATATTGTTCAGAGTATTGTTTTTAAATGTTACATTTATCTAATTTATGAAATTGCCTTTAGGTATTGGACGAACCCTGATTGTGTCAGTGATTTTGGACTTCTGATGCAAATGGAAGATTCACTTGAGAAGTCACTTGGCCAAATTCAAAGGGAAAAGGTAATCCTCCTCAACTAAGAACTCATATTTTCCTTGACAAACTCTAGATAAAGTACTAAATACTTTAAAAAATTGCAGGAAAATTTTCAAAAGAGGCGTCGTTTGGCCCTGGAGAATGAGGTAATGTTTTCCATTCACCTTGAGAAAAGTTTTTGGGAGCTTTGATCACCTTTTCTTCTCTCCCCTTAATCTTTCAACCATATCGAAAAAGTTACAGTAAATGCTTGTTATCTATCGTTTCGCAGTTAAAAGAGAGCATGCAGCTGCCCTTTCAATCAAATGGTGGACAACAGCTTCAGCCCTTATTATGGACCCCAAGTGATAGTTTTCAGAATATGGCTCTTATTCAGGAGCCAAAGTTACCTACCCAAAGGTCAGATATAGTCTGAATACTTTTCACAAAGAAACTCACATTTTTTAGTGTAAAACTTTTGATTTACAAAACCCAGACATTAATTTTGGATAATCAATGCCTGCACAAATTTTACTGTCCATTCTGAAAGGCACATCTGTTCTTTAAGATAATAATCCAATTTCCATTGTATTTGCATTGCCAGGGATATAGAGAGCTGCACTGGTTCTACTTCTGGAAGCTATTTTGGTTGTCCAAGCACAAGTAGTAAGTCGGAGGCAAACAGCCCCGGCCAACTAAGTGGGATAGACAACATTGGTCAGGATGCATTTCAGGGGCTTCAATTTGGCGGGATGTATTCATATCTTCCGTATGGTCTCAATATGCCAGGTGATAATAGTAATCTTCAGGCTATGCTAGGTTTGGACCAACGACAAAACACTCTTGTTTATGATGCTGGTAAAAATTATCAGCAAACCTTCCCATACCATGATACCAGCAATAACTTTCCACCAGATACTCCTGCTGATTTTGGATATGGAGACCTTTCTAACTACCAGGTATTTTCCGTCTTCTCCCTGCTTTTGTTTTCCACCTTCATTCGGAGAAATTTTTCATTTTAACACCATCTTCTTGCTCTTCTAATTACTGTAATATTTTTCATTTTGGTGGCAGAAATCAATTGTTCCTGCTCCTGCAATGCCATCTATGTACGAAAGAATGACAGGAGATTCCAATCACCTACTATTCGACAATACTCCTCATAATACTTGAGTAGTTGACATTCTTTCTGATCCTACTCCTTATTTACTATATACATATAACTCTACTATGGGCGATTGTACACCCCAATATAAGTGAATGTTGCTGAGGTGATTTGCACCTCGAGCACTTCTGTATTAGATAAATAAATTTGCATCATAGTTTTTAGGAATGAATGAGTAGCCTACTCTACATTATAATCTTTCAGACTGATGTAATTACTACATAAAGCATCAGCTATTGGTACACAGAACCCGAAATGAAAGTAACGTATAGTGTAAAGAATTGCTGTTTGCATAGTATAAAGAAATACATTTCGCATTTGCTAAGAAATTATGAATCCAGATTTCATTTTATTCCTAGTAGTAAACAGATGGCAGTGATAGATGCTAAGAAATTATGAATCCAGATTTCATTTTATTCAGGCAAGGTTCTCATAAGCAATGAAATTACTGTCATACATATAACATAGAAACATGGCAACAAGAAATTCCACAATCATGAAGGAAATACACTGTAATATAACTTAAACAAGAGGTACATACTACTTAACTGCCATGTACGTGCTCCGTAGTAAGAACAGCCTAACCTTCTCTCACAGAGTAGTCACAGCTTCATTACTGCAATGAGGCGAGACAAGGCTCTCAAAGTAGCTCCCTCCAACACCAATCTTACCGGGAAAGCCATGAACTACTATATCCTTTAAAGTCGCTTCTTTCATATTGTACACCACCAATACCTCATTAATTCTCCTACAAATCATCATCACCATTTGTTCCTTCCCCAACAAACACAAAGGCCTAATCTCGGAATCAGAGTACTTGATTGGGATTTTAGTCCATGATTCCTCGGCACCATATTCTTTCATCATTGCAACAAATAAGTTATGACATGTATCAGAAATACATAAAGGAAAAGCACAAAGACACCCTCCAAGTACGACAAGGTCATCAAACATAAACTCTTCATCAGTGTTATCAGAATCAGAAACTTCAGAATAATCTGATTCAGACTCCTCACTGTCAACCTTGTCAGTATCAGCCAAACTCGAAAGCGGTACTTCGTAAAACTTCTCATCCACCAAATCAAATGCTGCAATAACGAATGAGCGATCAGAGCTCATAGCAACCCAATGGATAAACCCATCAACAAAAACAGCAGAGGTGTCCTCGAATGGGAAATGTTTGAACGGTGAATCATCAACTCTCTTCCAAGTACCATTTCTAACAGAATAAACATGAACAAACATCTGAGCATCAAAGGTTTTTTCAATACAAGAAATCAAAACTACCTTATAATCATCATTAACTGAATCATAACCAAGTCCAAAAGAAAGAGGTTTAAGATCAAAAGGCAAGCTCAAACTCGGCATTTCCTTAATCTCTCTTGTAGTTGGATTAATTAGCAGCAATTTTTTGTCATCATTAGAAACTAAGATCAACCCATCACAAGAAACCAATCGATGATAGAAGAAAGTAAAACGATGATCATCAAAAGTGAGTTTTTTAGCAAAAAGGGTAATTTCGTCGAGCAGGTGGTGGGCATTATTCAACTGGGTAGAATAGAGTGAACCAGATTCAGGGGATAAAAGAATGAGTGATTCTTCTACAATTGGGCGATGTTTGGTTCGATCTAAATGGGTTTTGATGAACTGGGGTTGGGATAGAAGAGATTTCCATGGCTTAGACGCGCATCGAAATCGACCAATGGATTTAGCAGGTAGCCATGAGAATATCTCTGCTATGATCTCTTCTGGAAACATCTTCAATTCTTCTTCTTGTTCGATTTTTTTTTCCAGAAATTTTGTAAAATGCTACAATTCAATGTCAATCTTCAATTTTTTAATAGCAAGTTCGCACACAAAAACAAATACTTATTAGAAGCATCAACGACTCAACGTGTACCATGATGGTTTAATATTTGGTCATATTTTAATGAATAACTCTTGGCGCGTAGGCTTTTCTTATTTCACAACAAATAGTATGGCAAAGTTGTAAATATCATCATGTCTATTAATGAGAATGAGGTATAACTCAAGTAGTTTGAGACTTATAGCTTCCTTTTCGGTTCCATAAGATATTGGGATATGATTTTAATAGGTATTCTAATTAAGCTTTCGCCTTGTATTTCCAATATTAAGCCCTTTACAGTCTGATTGAGGCGGAATGCTACTTAATTATATGGCGTAAAGACATGTATTCTACTTGTATTTTCAATTTCCCATTATAAATTTTACAAAGTGTCTGGCAGATGATGCATACTCTAACACTATCCACGTCTTCTCTGACTACCCCTTATTCGGATGCCATATCAATATTCTACACTCAGCTCAAGACTGCCCTGACAGTAACAGGTGTTTCTTATAAAAATGTACAAATTACATTCATTAATTTGCTCAGAATTATCAATCTCCTTGATAAAAAGTACAGTAATATTTATTATAGCAGAAATGAACCTGCAACTTGAATTCTCAAATGTGCAGCACAAGAGGTGCAATACAGCACCAGAAGCATCCAAACGATCAAATAAACATGTCACACTGACACTTACAAATCACCTAAAGAGAACTCGTTATGGTCTAAGAAAATATAAATAGTAATATGACTCGAAATGATAAAAGAACACTTTGTTTTGCAGAAACTAGGCAACAAGAAATCTCACAATCAAGCAAGAGAAACATATTGCTCTTACTGCAATGAGGCGAGACAAGGCTTTCCATGAAGCTCCCTCCAACACCAAATCTCTCCGGAATGCCATGAATTACAATATCCTTGACAGTTCGTTCTTCCAAATCGTACATCACCAATGTCTCACCAGTTGTCTGCTCATCCAGCACCAGCACCAGTTGTTTCTTTCCCAACAAACACAGAGGCCTAATCTCAGCATCAAAGTTACTTACAAAGATTTTTGTCCAAGATTCCTTGACACCATATTCTTTCATCATCGCGACAAATATCTCATGACAAGTGTCCGAAATACTTGAAGGATAGGCACAGAGATATCCTCCGAGTTTAGTCAGCTGATCGAACTCAAACTCCTCACTATCAGCATCTGAAACTTCTTCAGAATCGTCTGACACGGACTTGTCATCATCATCATCATCATCAACCAAACTAGAAAGTGGCACTTCCTGAAAGACCTCTTTCTCCAAATCAAATGCTGCAATAGCATACATATCATCTGAAGGCCTATAAGCTACCCAATTTATATATCCACCAACAGAAACCACAGAAGTGTAACTAGATTCACTATGATCGAATGGAGAATTTTCGACGCTCTTCCAAGTACCATTTCTAACAGAATAAACACTAACAAGCATCTGAGCATCAGCACTGCCACTATGAGAAATCATAACTACCTTATAATCTTCATTAACTGAATCATACCCAAGTCCACAAGTAAGAGGATTAGGAGCATAAGGCGAGATTGGTAATACCTTAATCTCCCTTGTAGTTGGATTTATCAGCAAAAACTTTTCTTCCTCGTCTTTAACTATGGTCAACCCATCACAAGAAGCTAGTTATAAAGAAGAATGGAGAAAACGGTGATCATCAAAAGTAAGCTTTGTTGCTAAAACAGTGGTTAATTCGTCGATAAGGTTGGCATTATTAAACTGGATAGAATAGAGGCAGTGAGAATCATGGGAAACAAGGATGAGTGATTCTTCTTCTGTTGATAGACATTTGGTTCGAGTCAAGTGGGATTTGATGAACTGGGGTTGGGTAAGAAGAGATCTCCATGGCTTTGATGCACATCGAAATCGACCAACAGATTTAGCAGGTAGCCATGAGAATATCTCTACTATGATCTCATCTGGAATCATTTTCAAATTTTCTTGTTCAGTTTTTTTAGCAGACATCTTGTAAAATGCTTGAATTCTTTGTTCAACCATCAGTTTTTATTTATATATTTGTTGACAGCAAATTTGCACTTAAAGCAGAACATGTTAGACAGAGTATCCAGATCTGCTTGCTTGAACATTGGACCAACTAATTGTTTACTAGCACTTAAAATTCATTGCTATTATTTTATGGATTTTTTTTTTTTGCTGTTATTGTAAACATTATTGTTACTGTTGACTTTTTCTAAACAAAGTTCTTTTTCAAACCAAAACATCAGTAAGAATGGAAAATACAGCACAGATTGAAATAAGTTGTTTACATATAGTAGCAGAAATGCATCTTTTCCTGCTTGAACATTGGACCAACTAATTCCTGTATTGATTTTATTCAGCTGCATCAGTTTTTTTAACCTGTTTTACTTAAAAAAGGGCAACCCATCTTCATATCAGCATCAGAACCTTCCACTTTTGTACCCTTTGTAAGAGCACTAAGCAGCTCGCCGCGATCATAAAAGAACTCAACTTTGATTATCCTCATCTGCTCATCCACCTACTTACAAACACAAAACATGCCAAATTATGAAAAACCAAGGATGATTTAGGTTGGTCCAACTTTAGTAGCCTAACACAATGTGTGGTTTCTACGGGCGTTGGTACCTTGCATCGTACAACCGTTTCGCGAAAAGAACATATTACACACATGTAAAGAATATACTGTTGTAATGAAAAGAACATACTATTAAAAAGTAATGAACATATATCTAAAGTAAAAAGAGCATATTTATATATATTTTTTTTTGACGGGAAGAACATATTTATATTAAAAAAGAGTGAAAAGAACATATGTTCATGTTCTTTAATTGTCAGTGTAATGTACTTTTATTTGTGATATAATGTTAATTACTTATTGTGAAATGTTATATACATAAATCATGTTCATTACATAATATTTTCATGTTCTTTATAAATATTAGGGATGTTCTTTAGATGTATAAAAAAACATAAAATTGAATGTTCTTTACAAAACAGTTATATGTTCTTTACAAAACAACTTTATGTTCTTTAAAAAACTGCTACATGTTCTTTCCGCGTTTTTTTGCCTGTAGCTTGCTAGGTACAGGCGACTGTACCTTAAAACTTTCAAGCCTAACATAGTAAGATGTCATATTAAAAAAAATTACCTCAAAAATAGCACACCCAAATAACTCAACTAGTTCTCCAGTAGGAGGGTGGCCTTTGAAAGGACCTTCCATGTAAGCCCAATGCCTGAACTTATAAGCAATCACCGGTGGACCCGAGTAGACTTGGAGGATCTCAAAGGCGAACCCTCGAGGAAATGCAGTTCTGAAGAGATGGTGAGCTGATTCTCTAGTCTCTTTTGCTGGGTCATACAAGCGTAACTCCTCTGGTAATGAAGTTTGTAGAAACCCATTATATCCTCCACCCATTTCGCCTACTTCCTTCAATGTTAAAGGCTTCCTTCCTTTCATTGGAGTTTAAGACCATAGAATATTATTACTAGCTCATCAAATAAACCATAAAAGGCAAAACTTAGAATATCTGTGTAAGGTGATACAGCTCCCTCTATAGGTGCACACCATGCACCAATCATATTGGTAAAACTAAGCATTAATACGAAACTAACAAAACCCGTGTTTGGCTTTTCAAGTAATATTACAATGTAACGAAACCCATGTAAATAAAAAGAACCTTAATAACTCTTTTTTTTTTTTTTTTTTTTTTTTTTTTCCTTTTAGTCTACAATATTGAGATTATATGTTGTATTTTAGCTAGATGATTTCAATTAAAAGAATTATAAAGCCGAGAAGTGAAGTAGAAATGCGATACCATTAACGCTAAATGTATATTTGGAAGCATCCAAGGATTTATAGTCCTGGGGATCGGCCTTATGGAAGAGCTCCATTTCCATTGTCTTCACAAGATTTTGCACTTTCTCTTCTAGTGAACCAGCAGGCCATATCTTGCAATCACCAAAGACTTAAACATAAGATACACACTGACTTAAGTGTAAAATTACGAAGTAAAGAATACAACAATCTTGAATTATTTCTAGTACTACATTCATGTTTTACAAAATCTTCACTTATCTTTTGCCGGTTTTTCAAGAGTTGTATTGGTTTATGGGGTTGGCTGGCCAATTGCTCATGTTTATTTGGCATTTGTATTAAATGGGTCGGATTTTAGATCAAATCCGAGTCAACATATCTAACGAAAGAAAGTTACCTTAGTCCTGCCTTGTTCAAAGAACTTGTCGACGATATCGAAATTAGGAGGAGCTCCAAACACCCATGTGGTGTTCTTCTCACCTTCTCCATACATAAAAGAACGGTACTTGTCTACTTTCTCGGTTGATGACTCCATTTTCAGTTTGTAGTACAACACTACTATGTTTCAGGTTTATATAATGGAGTTGTTAGACTTATCACCAACTAGTCAATTTGATTCAGCTTACAAGAACAAATCATGTACTAGTATTACTTTTATTTTTATTTTTTTGGAACCTTGTTGATTTTTTTTTTTGTACCATATCAAATTGTTTACTAAAAGATTCGATAGTGTACCTTTTTTTATTTGTAATCTAATTGTTGATTTATTTATATAAGGTAGTTTCGATGAAGCTGACTAGAGAACGCTAGCAGCCAAAATTGCTCTCAAACACAGGATACTGAAAAGTCATTTAGGGTGTGAATCGATTTGGGGATAAGCTGTATGTAGACGTTAAAGTGTTAAACATCGTCCTAAAATTTATTTCATATAAATATCAAAAAAAATAAATAAAAAAAAAAAATCATTTGGTGTTTAGAGAGCCACTAGGCGAGTTTTTTTTTCATTTGGTGCAGTGTTTAGAGAGCCATTAGGCGAGTGATGAAAATCAATCACATGATCTTATAAAACTTCGAGTGAATTTCTAACCACATGAGCTATACTTCATTCACTAATTTAAAATTATTTTCCCTTTTTTCCCCTTTGCCTTATTCATATCATCAACTACTAATCTACCGTCAGTCAATAACCACCACCGCTAGACATTTTTTACAACCACCTCCACAAGATAATTTTATCAATCTTATGGCCTTTTTTCCGATGAATAAGTGGTGCATAAACAAAATTTATAAGAAAATCACAAGTCAATTTAGTCCGAGTTAGTCGTCAAAGACGTTTTGGGAGTGGGATGAAAAGGTAAGAGAATCCACACTCCCAAGTTGTCCTTGGTGAGTTGGTGATTGTATCTCACAAACTCAAGGTTGTGAGATATAATCATTACTACTAAAATGAATACAACTTTGTTTGGACGGAAGAACTTTACATTACACAAGTCATACACACTAGAGTAGGGATATCAATGGGGCGGGGCGGGGCGGGGCGGATGTTGGACTTCCCATCCCCATCCCCACCTAATATTTTCATCCCCATCCCCGCGGCGGGTCCAATTTTCATCCTCATCCCCGCCCCACACCCCACTTGGATATCCATCCCCACCTAACCCCCATCGAAGACCCGCCTAATCCCCACCCAAGATCCACCTAATATCCGTATCTCAAAATACACAATCTTACATAATTAATACGAATTATAAATAAAACATTCTATACACATTTCTGTGTTATAATATAAGTGTCGTACAAAGTATTATAATTAATATTGTATTTCATGTAATTATTTTATAAATAGAATAAAAGTATGTAATTTTGTTTTAAAAGATATATAGATGTGGGTATGAGGTGGGGATGGGGCGGGTACGAAGTGGGGCGGGTGGGGCAGGGCGGAGATGGGGCGGGTACAACTTAAAATCCACCCCCGCCCCATTACCCATGGCGGGTATGGTTTTTATCCCCATCCCCGCCCCACCACCCGCCAAACCGAGACCCATCCCTGCCCCATTGGGGCGGGTCTCCTACTTGACCCGCCCCATTGACATCCCTACACTAGAGCTGTTAATTCGGGTAAACAGGTCGGATTTGGGTCGGGTCAACTCGAGTCGAATCAATTCGGATTAATTCCATAACCTATGTGGGTCGGGTTTGGGTTGGGTCATGCTTGAGTCGGGTCACATCGGGTCATACTTCTTATCGGGTTTAGGTCGGGTTAATAACAGGTCGGGTTACATTCGGGTCGGGTGAATAATAGGTCGGGTTTAATTCTGGTTTTCACGGGTTCAAACGGGTTAAAATAATTCTCGGGTTCGGTTCAAGTCAATAATTTACAGGTTATAATCAGGTCGAGTCATTCTCGGGTTTGAGTCGAGTTCGGCTCAAGTCAATAATTTGCGGATTATAATCAGGTCGGGTCATTTTCAACTCGGGTCATTCTCGGGTTTTAGTTAGGTTCGGTTCAAGTCAATAATTTGCAGGTTATTATCAGGTTAGGTTATTTCCAAGTCGGGCCATTCTCGGATTCAAGTCGGCTTATGTTCAAGTTAATAATTTGCAAGTTACAATCAGGTCGGGTCATTTCCAAGTCAGGTCATTTCCAAGTCAGGTCATATTCGGGTTCAACTAACTATAAATAGATAATTATCATTTTTATCAAGCTAATTATTTCCTTTGACTATAATATACATGGCAATATACTAGGGAACTATAGTTTATAATTTAGGAAGATAATTATCTTCTTTGACCATACAACAAATATATACTATATTTAACTCTTAAATTTGAGGATGATGCTCCTTTCTTTTGCTGGGCTGGACTGACTTGGTCTCCCTAGACAAAATGCTTTGATCAACAATAATAAGGTAGCAGTCTAAATTGCATTTAAGATGATTTGAAATCGGGTCAGGAACAATTTGGGTTGAATTTAGGTCGGGTGAATAACAAGTCGTGTTAATTTCGAGTCGAGTTAATAACAAATCGGGTTGAATATTTGGGTCGGGTAAGTAATAGGTCTGGTAAAATTCAGGTCCGATCAATAACAAGTCGGGTTGAATTTGGGTCAGGTCAATAACAAGTCGGGTTGATTTCGAGTCAAGTTTGTAACATGTTAGGTTAAATTCGAGTCGGGCTAGGAACGGGTCGGGCTGAATGCAGGTCAGGTTAGTAACAAGTCGGATTAAATTCGGGTTTTGATGGGTTAAAACGGGTTTGGGTCAATTTTGGTTCAAGTCGGGTTCGGTGCAAGTTAATTAAATTGGACGTTGTAAACCGGTAAATCGGTGCAAGTTGTAAACCGGTAAATTGGTTGTTTAAAAACAAATTGGATGGTTCCACACACCCAATTCGACTCCCGAAGAGTATTAGGGAGCATAGTAAACATTTCGGAAATTTTTATTTCCGGGAGAAAAAAAAAGTCAAAAAAATTCCAAAATTGAAGACTAATATCCACGTTTTTTAGAAATTTTATAGAATACATCTCGGGGGCATATAATTCCGTTTGAAACCATATATGATAATTATTTGTTATCATAAATGTCCGTTGTAGGCTTGAATTAATGAAATCGGTGCAAGTTGTAAACCGATAAATTGGTAATATAAAGGCAAATTGGATGATTCCACCCACCCAATTAATCTCCCGGAGGGTATTAGTGACCATGGTAAACATTTCGGCAATTTTTATTTTCGGCGAAAAAAGTCAAAAAATTCTGAAATTGAAGGCTATCCACGTTTTTTGAAAATTTTTGGAGGTTTCGGGGCCCAGTGCAAAAAAAAGTTTTGATATTTTAAGGGATACATTGCAAGGTCATATAATGCCGTTTGGAACCATATATGATCATTATATGTTGTCGTAAATGTTCGTAGTATGCTTGAGTTAATGAAATTCGTGCAAGTTGTAAACCGATAAATTGGCCGTTTAAAGGCAAATTGGATGGTTCTACCAACCCAATTGGACTCTCGAAGGATATTAGGGACCATGTGAAACATTTTGGCACTTTTTATTTCCGGGCGAAAAAAAAAACAAAAAATTCCAAAATTGAAGACTAATATCCACGCTTTTTTAGAAATTTTGAAGGTTTCGGGACCTGGTGTCGAAAAGTTTTGAAATTTCAGGAGATACATCTCGGGCTTATATAATACCGTTTGAAACCATATATTATCATTATTTGTTGTCAAAAATGTCCGTGGTATGCTTGAGTTAATGAAATATGTACAAGTTGTAAACCGGTAAATTGGTCGTTTATAGGCAAATTGGATGGTTCCACCCGCCTAATGCAACTCCCGGACAATATTATGGATCATGGTAAACATTTCGGCAATTTTTATTTTCGGGCGAAAAAAAGTCAAAAATTTTAAAATTGAAGGCTAATATCCACGTTTTTTGAAAAAGTTTGGAGGTTTCGGGGCCCAGTGCAGAAAAGTCTTGATATTTTAGGGAATACATCTCAGGGTCATATAATGCCGTTCGGAACCATATATGATCATTATATATTGTCATAAATGTTCGTAGTATGCTTGAGTTAATGAAATACGTGCAAATTGTAAACCGGTAAATTGGTCGTTTAAAGGCAAATTGGATGGTTCCACCAACCCAATTGGACTTCTGAAGGGTATTAGTGAACATGGTAAACATTTCGGCAATTTTTATTTCCGGTTGAAAAAAAGACAAAAAATTCCAAAATTGAAGACTATTATCCACGTTTTTTTAGAAAATTTAAAGGTTTCGGGGCCTGGTTTCGAAAAGTTTTGAAATTTCAGGAGATATTTCTCGGGCTCATATATTGCCGTTTGGAACCATAAATGATCATTATTTGTTGTCATAAATGTTCATGGTAGGATTGAGTTAATGAAATCAGTGCATGTTGTAAACCGATAATTGGTCGTTTAAAGGCAAATTGGATGGTTCCACCCGCCCAATGCAACTCCCGGAAAGTATTAGGGATCATGGTAAACATTTCGGAAATTTTTATTTCAGGGCGAAAAAAGGTAAAAAAAAAATTAAATTGAAGGCTAATATCCACACTTTTTGAGAAATTTTGTAGGTTTCGAATTTCGGGGCCCGGTGTCAAAAAGCCTTTAGATTATAGGGGATACATCTCGGGGTCATATAATGGCGTTTGACACCATATATGATCATTATATGTTGTCATAAACGCTTGTGGTAGACTTGAGTTAATGAAATCGACGCAAGTTGTAAACCGGTAAATTGGCCGTTTAAAGGCAAATTGGATGGTTGTACACACCCAATTGGACTCTTGGAGGGTATCAGAGACCATGGTAAACATTTCGGCAATTTTATTTCAGAGCGAAAAAAGTCAAAAAAATCATAAATTGAAGGCTAATATCAACGCTTATTGAGAATTTTGAAGTTTTCGGAGCCCGGTGTCGAAAAATCTTGAATTCTATGGAATACATCTCGGGGGTCATATAATGTCGTTTGGAATAATTTTCGTGGTAGGTTTGAATTAATGAAATCGGTGCAATTTGTAAACTGGTAAATTGGTCGTTTAAAGGAAAATTGGATGGTTTCACCTACCCAATTGGACTCTCAGAGAGTATTAGGGACCATGGCAAACATTTCAGCAATTTTTATATCCGGGCAAAAAAAAGTCAAAAAATTCCAAAATTGAAGGTTAATATCCACGTTTTTTGAGAAATTTGGGATGTTTCGAGGCCCGGTGTCGAAACACACTGAGATTTTAGGGGATACATCTCGGGGTCATATAATGCCGTTTGGAACCATATATGATCATTATATGTTGTCATAAATGTTCGTGGAAGACTTGAGTTAATGAAATTGGTGCAAATTGTAAACCAGTAAATTGGTCGTTTAAAAGCAAATTGGATGGTTCCACCCAGACAATTTGACTTTTGGAGGGTATAAGGGACCATGGTTAACATTTCGGCAATTTTTATTTCCGGGTAAAAAAAAAGTCAAAAAATTCCAAAATTGAAGGCTAATATCCATGCTTTTTGAGAAATTTTGGAGGTTTTGGGTAGAGTTGTCAATTCAGGTAGACGGGTCGGGTTTGGGTCGGTAAGAGTGGGTCGAGTCAACTCGGATTAATTCTATAACCTATGCGGGTTAGGTTTGGGTTTACTTCTTATCGGGTTTGAGTTGGGTTAATAACATGTCGGGTTACAATCGGGTCGAGTGAACAATAGGTCAGGTTAATTTGGGTTTTCACGGGTTAAAAAGAGTTAAGGTAATTCTCGAGTTCGAGTCGGGTTCGGTTCAAGTCAATAATTTGCGGGTTATAATTAGGTCTGGTCATTCTTCGGTTTGAGTCGGGTTCGGTTCAAGTCAATAATTTGCGGGTTATAATCATGTCGGGTCATTTTCAAGTCAGGTCATTCTCGGGTTCAAGTCGGGTTCGGTTCAAGTTAATAATTTGCGGGTTATAATCAGGTTAGGTCACTTACAAGTCAGATCATTCTCGGATTCAAGTCGAGTTATGTTCAAGTCAATAATTTGCAAGTTACAATCAGGTCGGGTCATTTCTAAGTCAGGTCATATTCGGGTAGGTTCAACTAATTATAAATAGACAATTATCATTTTTATCAAGCTAATTATTTCCATTGACTATTATATATATGGCAATATACTAGGGAACTATAGTCTATAACTTAGGAAAATAATTATCTTCTTTAACCATACAACAAATATATACTATATTTAACTCTTAAATTTGAGGATGATGCTCCTTTCTTTTGCTGGGCTGGACCGACTTGGTCTCCCTAGACAAAATGCTTTGATCAACAATAATAAGGTGGTCTAAATTGCATTTAAGGTTGAAATCGGGTCAGGAACAATTTGGGCTGAATTTAGGTCGAGTCAATAACAAGTCGTGTTGATTTCGAGTCGAGTTAGTAACAGATTAGGTTGAATTTTTAGGTCGGGTTAGTCTTAGGTCTGGTAAAATTCGGGTCGGGTCAATAACAAGTCGGGTTGAATTTGGGTCAGGTCAATAACAAGTCGGTTAATTTGAGGCCGGGTTTGTAGCAGGTTGGGTTAAATTCGAGTCGGGTTAGGAACGGGTCGGGTTGAATTCAGGTCAGGTTAGTAACAAGTCGGGTTAAAACGGGTTCGGGTCAATTTCGATTCAAGTCGGGTTCGATTCAGGTCAATAATTTACAGGTTACATTCGGGTCGGGTCATCTCCAGGTCAGTTCATGTTCGGGTTCGGGTCTCACATACTCGGGTCAACTCGGGTCTAGGGTGGTTTCAGGTCGAGTTTGGGTCATCATTTTTTCGAGTTCAGGTGGGTCGGTTAATAATCGGGTTTGAGTCGATATCTCGGGTCGGGTCAACTTTTGAGAGCTCTGATACACACTAGGTGAAGCTTGTGTTTCTTTAGAATTTAGCTACAACAGATTGCAAGCTACTCATTTTTTCCTATCCAATTTTTAGCTTGTATTTGGGCATCTAAATCTAATTGCATGCATAGATATGCTCCCGGGAATTGTGGAAAACAAGCACGCAATAAAATTAATTAAAAAAAACAGCTTGATAGCCATTAACAAAGATGCAAGCAAGCTCTGAGAGTGTAACTCATTTAACAAATAGTACCTCTGTTTCTTTTAAGTTGACACGTATTCCTTTTTAGGAAGTATTTTTTTAAGTTGACATGTTTCCTTTTGGGGTAACTTTTTTATCTTGCATTTACAAGATACTCCACTTGCTTTTTCATTCTCTCTCCTTTCCTTAATATATGTGCCTAAATCAAACGCGTCAACTAAATAGAAACGAAGGAAGTAAGGTTTAACCCCCTTTTTTAAGTATCCAAGAATTGAATCACATATATCAGTCATTCGTGACTTTCTTTAGCACAAGATAAATGGAATTGGGGGGGTGGGGGTGGGTTATGACCAGCCACGATTGGATTTACAAGGTATGAACAATTAAGACATGGTCCTTTATCATCAATGCAGATCTAGGCATGTGCACAACTTCTAATTAAACAGATGCAGAAAGTTTTCAGTCTGTAGATTGAGTGCAACGATGAATACAACCTTATATTTTTGGGCATTCATTATTGGCAATAGTAATGGATTCATCCGTGGCATCAACCATAGTAGAATAGCAATCAACAAACCTCTTCAAGTAGACGCACAATGATTGATGCTTAAAAACCTTATTTGACTTGACGCATTATGAATCTGCCATAGGAAAATAACCACATCAAGATACAACACATTGTAGCAAGAATTTAGTCACAAATTTTAAGATATAACCTAAATTTTCAGTTCAGTTCAACAATACAAATAACTGGAACAAGATTTACATCGATGGCAGTATTCCATATTTTGCAGAAGATTCAGTTGGAGGGGAAAGGGAAGATATGCATAAAAAGTCTTCGTCTACTCTACAGAATTATCCAATATAAAAAGGCCAGATACCATATAGAATTGTTGAAACTACCTCTCCATTTGTCAGCAACAAGGCTACAGATATCTTGATTTCCATGTACACACTATGAAAACAGATTTTACATTGCTAGCTCTGATTCCATTCTCAGTAGCTGTATGCCTGTATGTCAGCGTGATTCTCTCGTATTCTGCTGATTCTTACCAGTTTCAGACCTGGGTTTTGCTACTTCTACAAATATTACCCTGCCATCAAGAAACTGATAGCTGAAACAGTTAATAATATAAAACATTGGTTGTTCATGTGTGCCTCGAAAACAGAAGAAGACACTGAGACCAGGTTTGTCTACTTGAGAGAAAGCAAGAAATACACTGGCAAAATAAATTATATTAGTTTCATTTTCAACCACGTTGTATGATGTATCTACAACTATGAAGCACAGGATCAAATAAAAAGAAGATGACCTGCTCAGTGCTAACAGCCATGGCAAGTTAGCTATCCTTTTGCTGCACTTGCTCAGCAGAATTCAGCACTAAGAAAATAGCTATTCTTTGAAAGGAAACAATTAAACAAACACATGTATGTAGTTGAAGACCCGAAACTTAATAGAAGTTGTGCTATGGGGATCACCATGATGTAAAATTGATATTCTAATTAAAAAAAAATGTAATTATTTGGTTAAAACTACAAGAAATTTGAAGGCATGTGCACCATCACTCAAAAGTCAAAACTGTAAGAAACAGTGGGCTATATGAAGGAAACAACTACATAAAACATTCCAAGCTTTAAGTTGCATTTATTTAACCCAAAGGACCAATATAGTGAAATAACAGGAATTATATTTTGAAGACATGGATTTGGCTAAACAACGAATTTGGGATGCCCTTTAGATAATGGATTTGGCTAAAAAAAATCAGCAATTCGTCAATAATTTTCCATTTAAACAACCCACGAAACATATAAGGCCTCTATTTGACTAAAAGACTTGGGAAGATAAATCATCCTAGATTAAATAACAACAAAGATTACACACACGATATGTATACATTTCCAAACAGAAATATCCCATATAAAACACCATTAAAATAAGAATATGATTGCAACAACAAGAAGCGAAATTGTACGGTGATGAGCTCTTTCAATCATCTTTAGAACAAGCAGTCAAGATTTTGTAGCCTAGCATACACAGGGTTCTAGGTAACTTGAAGATTGCACAAAATCCGCTGCGGCAGAGAATATTGGTCGCTAAAATAACTCGCAAGCCTCGTTGTTATATAAAGTCAATATGCAGAGCAAAGAATATTACTGCCAACAAATACAAGGATTGGCTCACCCACTCTGCCTAACCCTAACTCAAAGTAAGCCTAACGTACGCTCTTGGAATATACAAGAGTTGATACATGAGTAACCCTAGTGATCCACATTAGCGGCTGCAAAGAGGATCTAGTTCTATCTTTAAGGTATCAAGTGATTCAAGTCAAAGAAAAAGAGAATTATAAGCTACTATGGCATTAATTGGGTTAGTTCTGTAGAAAACCAAAAGTATCAGCTACAGTATTCTAGTTGGGAACAAAAGTAATCTCATGAGGTTCTAAGATACAACAAAGAGAGGCAGTTTCATCAGCTGAAGCCAAATACATGTTGGCCCCCAAAGCTGGTTGAGAAGGAGTCCTTATTAGTTGGGTAGCAAATGCATCTAACAAAGATCATTTATGGAAATATGTCTACAATTGCGATGAGAAAATGGCATATTGGCGTGTCATGCTAGAATTGACTATTGAGGTTAAAAAGTTTTTACAGGGGCAGCAAGAGAGCACAGCTGCTCAGATAAGCATGAGTCAAAAAAAATTAATTTCAACATTGTTCTGCAGCAAGACTAGCAATAAAATAGTTGCCAAGAGTAAGAGCTCCCAGTTGCTTGTTGGCTAGTTCTAAGTGATTGGAGGTAATATCCATGTTTAGTTTCAAACAAAAAGAAAACTGATAGTGTGCTCAATAGTTTTTGTAATATGGTAATAGCAACAATCAGATTGAAGGGAATGATCTTTCAGCCACTACAAGAGAAAGACATGCCACAAATGGGCTCAAGTTTTATGAAAATGGCAGAAACAGCATAGACAGCACACCGCTGTCCTTTCATGCCATCACCAAACTTATAGTTGAATAGGAATATATGATGCAACGAGCCCGCAGCCACCTCCTGTGACTCTGGTGTACGGCAGGAGGCCACGTGGACAGTGACAGCAGCAGAGCAATTCACCCACTACTCATACAACAGCACAAGCAGCAAATAGCAGGGTTCCTTTGGATTAATTGCTTAAATTGTTCTATTTCCTTATGTATGGCACTAAAAGACAAGTAGTAGTAGTTGTAGCCCTAAAGGCCTGTGGCCAGCTATGTAATAGAGTCTAGCAGTATAAACAGAGAGAGAATAGGAAGAAGGCAGTAGCCAGAAAATTGTATTAAGTAATTGGAGAGTTATGGCCTGAAGCCATAGTTACATTTCGCAAGCTCGACGCTTTTTCTATCAAAATTACAACCTTTCTCCTCTATTTTTCTTGTGAGCCACCGCGTTCATTCCATTTGGTATGTATGGCGCCGAAGGCCCCAACAGTAACGGTGGAAAGAGTAGCCGCCTTGGAAGAGAGGGTGGAGACGATACTTGACAAAATCAGTGACGGCGAGAACTCTCTTCAGCAAATATTGATGAAGAGGCTATGAAGAACAGAGCAGCCATAGATGAGGTAAGACAAGTGCTTGAAGGGCGGGTTGATCGGTTTCGCAATGAACAAAATCAGCAGAATGCAACATTGAGAGCCCAACAAGAGAAGTTTTGCGAGGAAATGCGTGGGCTCATCATGAGCTTGAGCAAACACCCCACGACAGGGGAGAACGAGGTGGAACAACCACAAGGTGGGGGAGGCTTCAATGAGCCGCCTTTCAACACTGGGGAGCTTAACGGCTTCAATGGCTTGAGGCTCGGCAGCTGGAACCCCGGAGGAGGTGGGGGATTCCAGAACCGTGGCGAATACAGCGAAGGGCGTGGGAACTGGAAATACAGGAAGTTGGATATGACGGCTCCGACCCCTATGGTTGGATTTTACGGAGCAAGCAATACTTCCAGTTTTACTGTTCGTCGGAAGTAGAGAAGCTACAAGCCGCGATTGTAGCCATGGATGGAGATGCTCTCCAGTGGTATCAATGGGAGAGTCGCCGGAGGCCCCTGATCGGTTGGGAAGATCTTAAGGGAAGAGTGTTGAACCAGTTCCGGCCAATTAATTCGGGAACGCTGCACGAACAGTGGCTTGCGGTGAGCCAAACCACGACGGTGGTAGAGTATAGGCGAGCTTTCATTGAAAAGGCGTCACCTTTGCCTGACATCCCAGAGAGTATAATGAAGGGCCAGTTTATCAACGGCCTTAAAAAGGAGGTTAAAGCCGAGATCCGAATGCTAAACCCGTTAACATTGGAGGATGCCATGGATCTCGCCTTGCGGGTTGAAGAACGAATCAACATAAAGAAAACGGGCGGGGCATTTGCTAAGCCTAGCCCATATTCATATTTTAACATAAGCCCAGCCAATATCTTGCTCGGGACTGGCCGGCCCAAACCACACCCGCTTATCAACCTTCATCCAACCCAATCAGACCTTACACCCAAAATACCCAGACACCACAAAGTTCAGCGGCTTCAGTGAACTTACAAACACCCAGCTACCAAAACCGATCCAACCCCAGCTCGTCCCGATTTAGCGGAGAAGTGAGGCGGCTGACGGAGGAGTTACAGGAGAAACGGGCTAAGGGTCTGTGTTTTAAGTGTGACGGACGGTGGACTGGTCCGACTCACATATGTGCGGCAAAGGGGTTGTGTTTTACTAATGGAAGAGGAGGAAGAATCAAGGGAGTTGGCGGTGATTAAGCAAGCGGCAGAAGGGGAGGAGGAGGAGAACCCCGTTACCATCTCTATGAATTCCTTGGTGGGAATTTCAAACCTGAAAACTCTTAAACTCGTGGGGGAGATTAAAAGGGAAGCAGTGGTTGTGATGATCGATCCCGGGGCAACCCACAATTTCATCTCCCTCAAGGCCGTAGAGAAGCTGAAAATTCCGGTGACCGGAGAGGAAATTTTTGGGGTATCATTGGGCAACAGAGAGGCAATCAGGGGTAGAGGGCAGTGCATGGGAGTAAAGTTGAAGCTAGGAGAGGATTTAGAAATCGAAGAGGAATTTTTACCTCTACAATTAGGGAATTCGGATGTGATTTTGGGGGTGCAATGGCTGGAGAAATTGAGGGCGGTGCTCACTAATTGGAAGTTACAGGAGATGAGTTTCGAACTTGGAGGGAGGACAGTGAAAGTTCGAGGTGATCCGAGTCTTGCTCGTACAGGGATTACTCTGAAGGCTATGATCAGGACTTTACAAAAAGAGAGAGAGGGCTTGTTAGTGGAATGCAGTCGGCTGGAAGAAGAGAGTGCGCTTCCTCACAGTGAGATACGAGAGTTTGCAAGAGGGGTGACAGAGGAATACCGGCGGGTTTTTGACAGCCCGACCGGATTGCCCCCGGAGAGGGGCCATGAACATCTTATAACCCTTAGAGACGGGAGCAACCCTGTGAGTGTACGTCCTTATCGATATCCGCAGTTTCAAAAGGATGAAATCGAAAGGCTGATACGAGAAATGTTGGAGGCAGGAATCATACGACCCTCCACGAGCCCGTTCTCAAGCCCGGTCCTTCTCGTCAAGAAGAAGGACGGTTTGTGGCGGTTCTGTGTTGATTATCGGGCCTTGAACAAGGAGACGGTCCCCGATAAATACCCAATCCCCGTTATCGATGAACTCTTAGATGAGTTGCATGGAGCTCAAATTTTTTCTAAGCTAGACCTTAAAGCGGGCTATCATCAAATCCGAGTTAAATCGGAAGACACACACAAGACGGCTTTTCGCACTCACGAGGGACACTATGAATTTTTAGTGATGCCCTTCGGGCTAACCAACCCCCCGGCCACTTTCCAGTCTCTTATGAATGAGGTCTTTAGGCCCTATTTGCGCAAGTTTGTGCTCGTCTTCTTTGACGACATACTCGTGTACAGTTCCACCAGAGAAGAGCATTTGGAGCACTTGAAGATTGTGTTGAACACCCTCAGAAATCATCTGTTCGCCAATTAAAAAAAAATGCGAGTTTGGCAGAGAGGTGGTAACCTATCTTGGGCATATAATCTCTAAAGAGGGTGTGGCTGTTGATCAAGAGAAGGTTCGAGCTATGGTGAGCTGGCCCACTCCGAAGTCCCTACGAGATTTGAGGGGATTTTTGGGGCTCACGGGTTTTGATTGCAAATTTATCCATCATTATGCACAAATTGCTCAACCTTTGACAGAGCAATTAAAGAAGGACAATTATGGGTGGACTTTAGCGACGGATGAGGCATTTCAAAAACCGAAGGAAGCTATGACATCAGCCCCAATCTTGGTGATGCTTGACTTCAAGAAACCGTTTGTGGTGGAATCCAATGCGTCCGGGTTTGGACTCGGGGCGGTGCTAATGCAAGATGGAAGACCGGTAGCCTTCTTTAGTAAGGTATTGGGACCTAACGGGAGGAATAAATCGATCTATGAGAAGGAGCTTATGGCAGTATGTTTGGCAGTACAAAAATGGAAGCACTACCTTCTAGGAAGGAGATTCATTGTCCGGAGTGACCAACAGAGCTTGAAATTTATCACTCAACAAAGGGAGGTGGGAATGGAGTACCAACGGTGGGTGAGGAAGCTCATCGGGTTTGACATTGAAATACATTATAAGCCCGGGGTGGCTAATCGGGTAGCCGATGCGCTATCTAGAAGAGGGGGCTGTGAAGAAAAGGCTGAACTAGGGGGCTTAGTCACTGTTCAAGGGGTGGACTGGGAGGCATTGAAAGGGGAAATACAGGGGGATGTTATTGTAAACCATAAAAATTCAAACCTGTAATATGTAATTAAAGAGGTAGAAAATATACGGGAACAATTATTTCATTGATAATTTGTGGGGTTACAACTCTCGTAGATCTCTTGATTCCTCTCTCCAAAGGGCTAGAGTTTGATATTTGTTTATAGTACGAGGCCTTGTCGGCTTAATCCATACTATAGACCTACAATGTTTGGTAGTAGGGAGGAGATGGGGTCTTTGTGACTTATTCCATCTGAGCCTAATTAAACCCTAGATTCGACCCTCTTTATATAGAGAGTCGTAGAGTAAAAGATAATAATCTATGAGATTCAGAAGATAAATATCTTATAATTTTTGATATTATCTCCTTATTTACATATATCTGACACCTAATAATTAACAAAATTTCGGTGTCAACAGTTATCATCCAGAAAATATTGAAGGAGGTAGAGCAGAAAGTTGCAGGGCAGGGTATACGGAGGAACAAGGGCTGTTGTTGTTAAAGGGTCGCTTGGTGACACAAAGACATATTTGAGAATGGCAGGGGAGTGGTTTTGGATGGGCATGAGACGTGACGTAGCGGAGTATGTTCGGAATTGCATAATCTGCCAACGTAATAAACTCTCACAACAGTCCCCGGCGGGGTTGTTGCAACCTTTGGCGATCCCGGAAAAGTTATGGGATGATATTACCATGGATTTCATCGAAGGGTTGCCTAGATCGAAGGAGATTGATACAATTTTGGTGGTGGTGGACAGGCTGTCCAAATACGCTCATTTTAGTGGGCTGCGGCACCCTTTTACTGCACAAGGTGTGGCAGAAATTTTTGTTCGTGAGGTGGTCAGGTTGCACGGGGTACCCAACAGCATTGTGACTGACAGGGACAGAATTTTTGTTAGTATTTTTTGGCATGAGCTATTCAGGCTACAGGGAACACAACTTCACCGGAGTACCTCTTACCATCCACAAACAGATGGACAGTCAGAAGTGGTGAACAAAAGGTTGGAAACTTATTTGAGGTGCTTTGCCGGAGAACAACCTAAAGCATGGGCGACGTGGCTGCCTTGGGCAGAGTTCTCATACAATACCTCCTCTCACTCATCAACACAAGTCACCCCATTCAAAGTGCTTTATGGAAGGGATCCCCCTAAATAGTTGCGCATTGGATTGGGGCAGACAATGTTGGATTCTGTGGAAGAGTCCTTGCAGGCAGGGATATCATGCTTGATGAACTCAAGTTTAATTTGATGCGGGCTCAACAGGTGATGAAGGACAGTGCTGGTAGGAGGAGACGGGAAGTGGAATTTCAGGTGGGTGATCGTGTTTTCCTTAAGCTCCAACCTACCGCCAGCGCTCCCTAGCAAGGAGGCCATTTGAGAAGCTTGCTGCCAGGTTTTATGGCCCATTTGAAGTCATAGAGTGCATAGGAAAAGTGGCTTACAGACTGCTGCTACCAGATGAATGCAAGCTACACCCAGTGTTTCATGTTTCCCAGCTGAAACCAGCACGAGATAATGTTCCCAGCTCCCCTAACATTCCCACTCAAATCACCCCTGAGTTGGAGTTGGTCGTGGAACCAAAAGAGGTACTGGATAGCAGACCCAAGCTTGGGCAGAAAGATGGGTTGGATGTGCTTATCAAATGGCGTGGGTTGACTGTGTTTGAATCCACCTGGGAAGATGCAGCCGCCCTTAATGCTTGTGTTCCTCTTTTCCACCTTGAGGACAAGGTGGCACTTTTGGGGGGGGGGGATATTGCAACGAGCCCGCAGCCACCTCCTGTGACTCTGGTGTACGGCAGGAGGCCACGTGGACAGTGACAGCAGCAGAGCAATTCACCCACTACTCATACAACAGCACAAGCAGCAAATAGCAGGGCTCCTTTGGATTAATTGCTTAAATTGTTCTATTTCCTTATGTATGGCACTAAAAGACAAGTAGTAGTAGTTGTAGCCCTAAAGGCCTGTGGCCAGCTATGTAATAAGGTCTAGCAGTATAAACAGAGAGAAAATAGGGAGAAGGCAGTAGCCAGAAATTTGTATTAAGTAATTGGAGAGTTATGGCCTGAAGCCATAGTTACATTTCGCAAGCTCAACGCTTTTTCTATCAAAATTACAACCTTTCTCCTCTATTTTTCTTGTGAGCCACCGCATTCATTCCATATGACCCTAAGAAGTCCTAACAGGTTCTCACTCAAATCTATGACAAAAAGAAATATAACCATAAAATCTTCAGGTAAGGTACCGTCAAAAGATATAGAACAGTACACAACCCACATTCAAACCCATGAACTTAGAATTGGTGTTTTACTTATAGCATTGAAAAGGTTTTTATAGGAGTACATATACATACCTTTCCATGCATTCCTTCTATGGCATTCATAGACTCCTCTTCAGTTTCATAACGAAGGAAAGCAAAGCCCCTCGGTCTATTGGCGATTTTATCCATTACTAGGTTAACTGCAGTAAATTCAGGGATATAAGACTTCAGAATCCAGTGGAATAAATAAAACTAAATGCAAAATTGCTGGTTGATGCATACGCCAAAAGGTTTAAGAGCATTTGTATGATTAGTCACCTTCCACTAGTTGGCCAAACTTTTGGAAAGCATTTCGCAAACTTTCTTGAGTAGTGCGAAATGAGAGACCTGCGAGCAGCAGCATATATTAGGCCACCAGTATGCTTTTATATTGTTTGCTATAGAAGAAAGAGGGGGGAGGGGGGGAGGGGGGAATTATGACAATCAGCCCACAAATAATATTAATAATTGCTGAAAACATTAACCAGGATAACAAGTTGTAATCACAATACAAAAAACCAATATACATCATGGTTCAATATCAAGTTGGCTCATCTGCGATCGGCCTATTTTCCATCTCTTTGATTGATCAATATTATGCCATGGTTGACTGGTTGTTGCTCAACCCCAACATCGCAAATTACTTACTAGAGAGATTCCTCCGTCCTCATACTGATGAAGTTAGTTTGAGGACCAAGCTGCCCCTAGTTTTCACGATTGTTGCCATTGCGTAAATTGGCTTAATTCAGATGGTAAAAAGGAGGGGAAAAAAAAAGTCATTATTGCTGCATGGCTGTCAAAACTTGCAGATATTTCTTATCTACAGCCAGTAGTCTGGAAATTGACTTTCCTTTCTGCTTGGCAAAAAGAAAGTTGCTTTTGACTCCTACTAGTTAACAAATTGTGAAATAGTATCCTAAATTCCTTGATATCATTAACAAACCTATGTCTCATCCTCTAGTGCCAACTTAAAATTTTTGAAACAAACTAAAATACAGACAAAATTGTACACACTACACACTAGTGTATGCATCTTATTTAACTGATGAAAACATTCAGAAGAAAAGTCATTTCAAAACTCTAAAAATTGAAATTAGACAGCAAAAAACACAATTCAAAGCCGGCCAATTGATGAAGCATGAAACGCTATTCCAAGTAAAGTAACAAACAATTTTAAAGAGGTTTGTGCATGTAGCAATCTAGAGACTACAAGAGAAGAGCAAGCACTAACCACTAACATATAACCTGGTAGTCGTGGATGGAGTAGAACTGGATGAAGAAGAAACACAGGCCATAACATATCGATGACATGAGGGCGCTCTGCCATGGTTGTTGACATGAGAAGAAAGAGAAGCATTTGGTGAGTGACAAGATTCAGAAGAACAATAGGAAACAAGCTGAGAACAATATTTCTTTATTGGTGATCTTTGTTTCCAAGCATCTTTCGTTTGTGATGTGATGGTACAAGGAGCAACAAGAAAGCCTGTTGCCAGCATCATCTGAAAGAAACACATCAAAGTCACCTCTTTGACCTTCATATGTGTATGTAAAGAGAATCCATGACCCAACTCAACTTACTGTGCATTTATGAAAGATTCATTTTTTCTTTTTTCTTTTTTTACAAAGCATACCTGTTCAGCTCATCATAAAGGAGACCTAATTCAGTCATTCTTTTTTGAAACAAGCTGTACTTGCAGGAACAATGTTTGGAATTAATAACTAAAAAAACTACGACGATTTAGCACAAGTGATCTCTATTCTCTAGGCCAAAAGTCAAGTGCAATATCAAGGTTATGCCAGATTGCAACATTTTGGCTACTCATTACTATCTAACCAGTTGACGAGGATTTACACAGGTTGTGTTAGCTGCTTATATAGAGTTTCCAGTAATTTATCGAACCTGGTGACTGACAATCTAAGTAAATTGCAGTGAACATTAATTCTTGACACATTCTAGTTCACTTGTATCTATTAGGTGGGTACTTTGGAATCCAACTCATCAAACCAGTGACCAGCAACCTAAGTGAAAATTCAAGGAAATCACTCCTTTATTCAATGCTAATTCACTTGTAGTTGTGATTCACTACAACATTTGTGATTCACTATACAACATAGTGCATAAACACGGATAATCGATGACAGTTTCAACATACAACATTTGTAATTCAATAATCAGAAAACGATATGTTAGAGAACTAACTCAACCAAAAGCCAAGATTAAATACATATAATGATATAAACAAAAAGAATGTTCATACCCGGCTCATACTAAGAAATCCCAGTACTTGGAAATCTAGTATAATGTGTTTCAAATTTCAATCATTCTATGTTTTTCATTCTATGAAATATATATATTTTTCACATACAGTTTACAAAAGCATTATTGTTTTTCATTGAAAATGAAACAAATTCAAACAATTGCTTGAAACCCAGTAATCAATACAATTAAGCAAGGCATTTACTTTGTAGGTTTTTCTATTAAACCTCAAAATCTAATTTCTACAAAATTAATGCCAAATAAACCTCAATGTTTAATTTTCTACAGTATTACTGCCAAATAAACCCCATAAATTCCAATATCAAATTACTCAATTCTGAATTCATAAGTTAAGCAATGAAATAATACAATTATAAGATAAAAGATTATTTACCTAGCAAGTAATTGAGTTTGATTTTGTAGAAGAAAATTTTGAATATGCCCAAAATCCTTTCCTCTCAAAATCTTATTTGATCTTCAATTTCTCAATTCAATTTGGAGTTGAAGGAAAGACGCCCTTTGCATTTGGTTAGGCAATTATATCGTTCAAAAGTGCCGAAGATAATGTTCAATTCCAATTGCTCCATCAGCCCAGCTCACATCTATCTCAGCCCAGGAAGGAAGCCCATAGGCCCAACAGTACAAGAGGCCCAAAAGTCCAGCCACCAGTCCACCACGAGCATTTTACTCCCTCCATTTTTAAATATTTTTTGCACTATTCATTTATCCTGCTTTGACTAATGTTTGTGATTTATACATAAGAAAAAATATAATCGTGTGGGTACTTGTTGGAATCATCTCAATGAATAGATTATTAATTTTCAATTGTTAGAAGTTATACCTATTGAAAATTAAAGATATTAGTGATCAAATATTAGCATCGGCATGCGTATCCAAGAGAAATGGAGCAAGTATTTAAAAACAGAGGGAGTACAAGCTAAGGGTCTATTCTGTTCAGTTTAATTTTAGTTCAGCTCTAATCAATTTAATTCAATTCAGTTCAGTTCCTAATTTTCTTCAACCTCTCATAAACAATTCATTTCATCTCTATTTAGTTCAGTTCAGTTCAGTTCAGTTCAGTCCCAACCAGTTCAATTCAATTGTTTTCAATTGATCCGAACAAACCTTAAGAAAAACACGTAATATGTTCTTTTGTTATATGAGTAAAAGAATGCTACTTATTCTCCTCTTTGTTCTAATAAAAATAAATAAATAACTATATGTGGTGCAAATTTAAAAACTTTGGATAAAAATAAATAATTTTAATAAAAATAAATTGTTATTAAAGAAAATTATAGTTGAAGTCATAGAGTAATTTTTTTTTATTATTTAGTAATTTGAAAATGTGGAATTTATCACCCAAAACCTCTCTTCTTTATTAATATAAACTGCATCTGCACTATACACTACGGAGTATTAGCAAATGAAGTGCAAATCACAAGGCAACGAAAATGTATCATTATTGCTCACACTTATCGGAAAACTATCATTAACATACCTTTTCTCTCAATTACGGATCATATTATTTAGGCATTGAAGCGGGTATTCTCAGACACCCCTAAGCTTAGATGCTTAAATTACAATTTATGTGCAGGTAAAATGAGGCTCAAGATCAACATTTTCTTTACAACTTAAGAAATACTCCCTGGAGTGGGTGATTGATTTCTACCCAAAAAAGTAACGATTAAGGTACATTGTTTATGTATCAAAACAAGGGTATCTTATGCTTTTTTTTAATAAAAAAAATAATAAGAAAATCAAGGAATACATAGTGAAAATTTATTTGGATATTTTCATTTTTGAAAGTGTTACAATTTATATAAGAGGGGAGCCAATAATCAATCAATCAATTACATTATACTAAAGGCGAAACTTAGAGAACACTTAGCAAAATATTATAAAAAGTTTTCCCTCCAAAACCACTTTCTAAAAAAAACTTATTTTAATTAAATTATGACTTTTAGTTTGTATAAATAAAATTTAAAATAAATATCCTTAAATATCAAATTGCCCATTATACCTATTACATGTTTAGTTAATTTCTTTCACAATATTTCATACTTTTTATTACTAAGTCTATTCCTTCAAAAAAAAAAATATTACTAAGTCTATTTATAATATTTATATCCATTATTTTTGGTAAAATTTATTGTCATTAGAATTATTTAACAACCGTGCATTACACGGGTTTTAATCTAGTATATATTATATAAATTATTACAATTATAGAGTATGAAAAGAAGTAGGAAATATTTGATAAGGGTGTTAAATAAATTAAGCAACATTATACTCAACATTAACAAACGACAATGATTACAATGTTGCAATTACCTTTCGAAAAAAATTATTTTAATTATCCAACCTTTAGCTAATTGTCCATAAATAATTCAACTTTTCGATTATCTATAATAAATTAAGGAAAAAGATATATACAGCCCTAAGTGGAAAGAATTGACAATAAGTATACAATTATTACACCGATTTACTCGTGAATTGTTGATAAATTCCCAATTTAATACTTAAAAAAGGAAAGATATTAAATGCTTATATTCAGCCCTAAAGGCTTCATATAGCATTACCTATAAATTAATAACCAAAACTTCATACTCATTAATAATACATCTTAAAATGTTACATGTACATATTAAAACTACTGTTTTTAACATAACTTAGGATTCTTGGCGATGAGGTTGAGATATTGAAAGAGACTACACTCTATAACCCCAAATCTGTCTTCTTTCTTCCAAAAAAATGTAACCATTATTTGCAAGTTGCAAGCTTGCAACCATAAAACCATCGTCATTTTCACAATTTTTGTATATTAATACTCCGTAACAAACTACATAAGCCAAATTTCATTAAAATAAATGTACAAAAAAGTTCTTAGCTAGAAACAAAGCTAACCAAAATACCCTGAAAATTTTGGCTAGTATTATTCGAGAGAATTACGGAGAGAAAGAACGGTAAAGAACAATGCGGTGGATACGGTTGAGCGTTGTGGGCATGGAAAAGTAAATGCAATTACTCTATCAATCGATAGTCACGCCGACAATATTAGGCATGTATAATATACTAGCTGTATGACAACGCGTTACGCGTGAGACTAGATAAAATTAGAATATGCTCATAGTAGAAACTGCAAAATAAACTTAAGTCGTCTCATGTAGTAACTTATACTGAGTAACTTTGTAACCTAAGCTGCAACCGATGATGTATGCGTAAGGTTTATAACTTTGTATGCAACACATTTTTTACATACATTGACATTAGTTACATAATAATGAACGATTTAATTACTTGTTGATTAGCTGTAGTCAATATTGGCGCACTGGTCCTATACATTTCACTTACAAATACGATGGCATTTTTGTAAATAATGGGAACCTAAGAAAAAAAAATGGTGGAAAATATGGTGGTAAAAAATACCAATATATGCATAATAGTACATAAAAATTCCTATTCAGACATCTTATATTTTAATGGTACATTATACATGCATAATAGTACACAAAATTTACCATATTACAATTAAAAGAGAGAAAATGTACCACCGAATCTCAAATTGCCCTCCTATATGCATGCAAAACACATAGGCTCTATGCGCCTAGATTCATTGTAAGTTTGGTTGCCTAGCTGGTTCATAAATTTTGCAACATAAATTTGTGAAACTTTAAACATTTACCTCTAATTTAATGATAAGTTAATTAATCTCAAATTGGATGGGGGTACCTACTATTTGCATTAAGTCATGAACCTCCCATACTAAAATATGGGGCCTCATATAAACTTAGGTGGTGGTGATAATCCTATACAACGAGGAAATGTTTGGTAGAATTAAATAATTAAACAAAATAGGGGACATACACAAAAATAAAAGGTTGTGTAGAGCAAGGGTTTTACATCTTTTGAGACAATTATAAGCATTGGTGTCTAAATGTACTGGAAATATTGAATGCTAATTAAGAACAACAATCAACTTCACAATCAGGGTAATAACATTGAAATTTTCAAAATAATTTCACCATTTTTAGATGTCAATATTCATTTTGAACATCGATCTTCAATGGTTAAATCAATTCCTCTTAATTCAAGTTAATTCTCTTTTATAACTAGTTTGCGCCTTAATGGTTAGCTACTCTTCATAGCTAGTTAAATGAGCCAATAGGCATACTAATTCTCCATCTTATTTAAATGAGCCAATAGGCATACCAATTCTCCATCTTTTGGCAAATTCTTTTTTTTTTTTTTTTCTAACCAAGCTTTTTTTATATTTTAGCTCTTATAGTCAAATTAGTAGCTACAAACTTTTGAAAATTGTAAACAAGTTCTTAGCTACAAGTCTACAACGATCCATTGGAATTTGGAGTTGCTTATTTTCTTTTACAATATTTCTACTAGTATATGAAAACATATACTAGTATATTATTATATATAAGTCAAATTGTGATGAGTTTGATGTCCACCTTAAATACTAGCTTTACCCACAATACTAGGACCTTTTCTCATAAATTATATACTTTGTGTTTGGGTCCAATTTAGTCCAATTGGACCTAGACATTAAATGATCCAATTAAAAGCCCAAGGTCAAGGTTCAACTCTCCAATTGTGCTAAAGTCAAGATCAGTCCACAAGGCAAGTCAATTGGGCCAAGGCCCACATCCCCCATATATGCAAAGGTATATAAGCCTTCAATATGACATTTGTACAGGGACATTCACAAAAGCCTCAAGCAATTAAATCTCTTGCATAGCTTTCTCTCTCTACACATTGTACTGACTTTAGCATCGGAGGGGTCTTCCTCGGCTACACCCCCGAGGCTAGTTTACGTGTGTTTGCTGTACAGGAAACCCTCGGCCCAACATCACTTAGACCGAGCCCAGTCTTCACCACCTCACTGGACCTTCGGCAAGGTCACATTGTTTTCATCCGAAACAATTTGGTGCCGTCTGTGGGGAGGACTTTCAAAAATCTTTAAGCCAAATCTTTAATCAAAATCATCTTGCAATCATCTTAGTAGCAATGGCTAAGAACCGCAAGAGCAAAAGCATCCGTCAAGGAGCAGGCGAAAGGCCTAAAACTCCTACACCATCACCCTCACCGGGCCGGAACTCTCCCAAGGGTGCCAGTTCGGGGGGAGGATCATACAGGGAGGATTCCCTTTCTCCCGTAATTCACAACTCTCATCATAAGCCGAGTCCCTCTCGTTCTAACAGATGTCAGTCCGATCATAGGACTCATTCAGTGCCCCAAAGCCAACCATCGACCATCCGCTCTCATTCCCACACTCAGCCGAGGACCCCTTTGACGGGGCCCAGTTCGGAGGAGGTGGCGAGAACGCTGGCAGTGCTCATGGAGGCAATGAGGGCACAAAATATGCCTCCACCTCGCGATCGAACTCCTCCGCATACCCGGCATCAGCGGAGGAAGCTAGACCGCGATGGGGAGAAACCTCCCTCCTTCCGAGAACTGGAAAAGTGAGAAGAGGATACCTGGAGAACTGAAAGAGAGAGGAAAAAGAACCCTCAATTTTTCA